TGGATGTGAGGACGTATTATATTCATCGTGATCAGTGTAAGAACCACTCACTGATCATCTTGTTTCCCAACGTTATGCGCCTCCTAACGATGATGGGATCTCCCAACATTGCTGCACCTGCACTAAAGATGTCAGTGCCCCAACAATGCTGTCTGGTGATTAATATCAAACAACTTTTATCACTAAGTATATGACCAACCCCTGAATTTGCATAGCTAATTACGACTGAAGGGTTTTAATTTATTGTTTATCACCGAGTGAAATCAATGCACTTTATCCCACGTCCGCACTACACAAGTTTTCTCGGTTCGGATTGTTAGGTCATAGAAAACTATTATTGCTTTATGTTTTGAATTCATATATCTTACCTCATATAAATTTGCTGTTATACCTTTCTTTGCTTTCTCGGCCTTCATGTAACATTTGATTTCATCATTTTGAAGGACTTCATTTTCCTACTGGTTGTCCCCGCACTTTGAATATAGTTGGACCATTTGCCTCAAGGGTGTTCATACTATAGACGAAAGCATGAACAGTGCCCCCGTTTCGTACCATTCTGACTGAAATAAACACTATTCAGTGCAGTAATGTTTTCCCACTAGTATTATCCAAGTATCATATTTTGTCTGCTCAATATCCAGATAGGGCATCCCTAGGTAAACCGTAAATTTCGCCACGAAGTAAACTTTTGTCCATATGAAAATGATGGCAGAAATTCGTCAGACTACCAAGAAAATATGTTTCAACGGAGAGATCTATGAAATATCAATCTATGCGGTTCGATACTATGCACAGTGCATCATTCTGAAGCCTCATTATTAACAGTTTTAAAAACCACAACCTCCAGCGAAGCCCTGAAAAAGGCGTGAAATTCACGGTATCAGTTACCGCTTCCTGATTTCACAATGTTTCTCTAGTTGATGTTAGTTTATGATAACAAATAACTTCTGATTAACTAGTTTATCACAAACCAAAGATCTGTATAGGTTTTCAGCGATTTACTTCACTGAATTTTATATGCTGTCTTCATCCACTTGTAGATAGTCAGTGCTTGGTAAGTCATACAGTTAGATATTAGCCAGTGAAATTTTTTATTTAGATTCAAAGATTAAACCAATCACAGAATAGGAGAATTTTAAGACGAATAAATGTGCAGAACCCGGTATTATATTAAAAAAATGTTTCAGTACGTAAATACTTCTTTAGGAAACCTGAAATTAGTAAATTTATTTCTTACACATTATGCCAGTTCTTCATTAGTAAAATATCTCAGTGGACTATTGAGAAATATCATTAGTTCATATGCTGCCGAATATGATTATACCACTAATGGTTCTCATGCATTTTAAATTTTGTCAACTATAGCTAACGAATGGATGTGAGGACGTATTATATTCATTGTGATCAGTGTAAGAACCACTCACTGATCATCTTGTTTGCCAACGTTACGCGCCTCCTAACGATGATGGGATCTCCTAACACTGCTGCATGAAGGTTGCATTACACGAACTCTTGACACAAAATGAAATATTGATCGGTTAAGATTGTGAAAGGCAGATGCTTTATTGCAAATATGCACATGACAAAGTGCCTTTCCGTTATTCTAGCCGATATACCAACTACACAAGAACTTAGACAATGGTGAAATGTAAGTAGTTTTACATTAGATCTACCTACTAGATAAAGGAGAAAAGGGTTTAGCTTTATTTGCTGGTTGACGTTATGGGCACCACTTACTGCTTACAGTAATATCAAGGTAGTTACAGAACTCCCAACACCTGTTTTAATTTGTTTTCTTATCAACTATTATTCCTTGTAAAGGAAATATATTTGTAAAATCTCAGTGAGGTAGAAAAATGAATCTCTGACGTTTCATGACCTCAAGTAATCCGTCTCTTCAATGGATGAAGCCTGTACATTGGCAAATCAAACCACGTTAGTCATACTTGAAAATAATATTGGAATAATTGTTATGGTGAGACAGATTGTGTAGGTTCTACTCCCCGGATAAGCAGTTCCCACGAGATCGTGATAGGTGGGAAATTTACTTCTTCACACCATCGGGATTCTATAAATGTATTTCCTTTATAAAATGTTGTCTCAATGCTTAACTGATTAGGTGCTATCGGGTCAAATTTCGATTTTTAATCCTTCAAAATGCTATCTGTTGGTAACAAACTTCAGTATATATGCGTAACTGGTGCTATACCATTAGTATTAAATATATAGGGAGTAAACCTAACGAGAATTCCGCTATGAATTTCTTTCTTCAATCAGCTATAGTGATGTTTGGGAGTACCTATGTAACGCATAATATTCAAAGTTACTTCGTAAGTTGCGATGACTGAATTCTTCTCTAGATCATTTATCTAATTAGGATTTATAATTCGAAATTTCTTAAGATCACGATGTTTCGATTGCTGGCTGTTTTAGTATATCAAGAAGGAATGTTGGGAAAGATACATAGAACTCTCAACAAAGCTGAAGCGGAGACGATTGCTAAACTTACCAGCTCACTGACAGACCACCGTCGTTAGCTTTAGGATTTTATCGATACAACTAGACCATATAATTTGATCTATGGAATATCATGCAGTTACTGTAAGGTCAAATGCATAGGTTTAATCTAGCAAGTGTGATCAATTAGATAGATGAATACTGCTTTTTTCAGTAGCTAAAATGATGACTAGCTTCCAGGAAATTTCGCAGAAAACACAGTAGTTCGTGGACACGTTTAACTGAAAAAGTGGACATAAATATGCCGATAACAGCAAAAAATCTGCAGATCTATTAAGGAAAAGAGTCCTTTAACACATAGAATAGATAACACAAGTCAGTATTCACCAAAAGATTTCACCTATCAAAATGATGACAACCACACTGCTCATTTTACAATTAGCTGATCATAAGTGAAAGCGCCAGTTTAAAGGGATGCAGCTAAAATGTTCACATACTGTATCTTCTCTCCATGTTATGATGAAGAATGTCCTTCAAGAAAGGACGATCTGTCTTAGATATCTATTACAAAGTAGAATTGAGCATTGGTGATAGGAAACTTAGGGATGACCAATCAAGTTCAAAATGCTGCATTCAAGGTCGGCCGTTTGCTATGTTGTAGACGCTGCGTAAAATTCCGGTGATTTATGACAAACGTGAAGTGCTGGATTACTTTCAGAGAGTTAAACTGCTCGTGAGAAGTCTAAATTTTGAACGTGGTTTTGTAACGGATGATGTGCCTAGCAGTGAGAAGAGGTGGTCTGATCTTTCGTTGTCCTGTCTGATAAACGAGGAAACAATTGAGAACAGTGTTGCTTTTCAAAGGATCTCATTGAACCATCCAACAGATGATGGTTTCAATATTTCATTGGGTTGTTGGAATACTTATAACATCATCAGGAGCTGCGACAGATGTCTGTGAAGTGGTATCAGCACTACAGAGATCTTCGCTCCGAGATAATACGCAGGTTGGATGTGAAGTTTGGTGTAGTGGTTACTCTGGTCGAAATACACGAATATCTTGTTCAGAAATGTATATGTAACTGAGGAAGAAGACTTAAACGTGACTGAGTAATATACATACATGTTTTAATTCACAGATTCTTGGTAAACACAACTGAAATACGAAAAAAAACAAATTTCAAGTGGATAAAGAATAAATCAGTAAAGTTTATCCCATCAGTTATAGAAAAATGGGTAGCATCAAAGTAGTCATACAGCTTTCGATAGGTTACTTTCATATTCCCATCACCTTGTATTCTTTGTTTCGAGTGTAACAAGCCAATGTATTTCAATTACCAATCAAAATGGCACTCGATGCAGTCAGAAACAAAGAAAAGCTATTGTCTCAGATTCAAGTGATAGTTCGAACAGCAGTGATGATGAAGAGGAACATATTTAGAAAACTAAGGTATCCAATGATCAAACATTAGGTGAACAGTCGTGTCTAACATCCACAGTTTTCAAGCTCCAAAACAAAATATATATGGACAAACAGAAGAAGTGGCAATGGAATTACCTATATCTCAAATCGTAGAAGAAATATTCATGGTCAGTTGGAAACAGTTGGCTTTTCGGATGTTCAATCCTACTTCTAAGATATAGAGGATGACACATTTATCGTGTTGAAGTCAGAACATATCGACAGTTTCTTCACATATATAAACTCACTCGTGGGTGGAATTTAGTTCATTAACGACTCAGAAAATTAACAAGAACTAAGTGTGCTGGATTGCAAAGTAAATTGAAGAACACGAGATGGTTTAGATGCTACATTCATACGGAAACAATACACTGAGAGGTATCTCGACTTTAGGTCATCTCTCATTTAATATCAGTTAAACTGGGTTTATATAATAATACCGTTAGAAGATTAACTAGTGAATCGAAAGGAATCAATAATTACCCTTTTGAGTTTGTTGAGAAACTTGTAATTGATAAGAAACGAAGTAGTATTAGTAATTATGAATGGTAAAAACAATACAGATAGAAGAGAGTTTAAGGCATTTATCATGTTATCAGATAAAGAAGGAACATTAGAAACTTTATGTAGAATTATTAACAACATTGGAATTAGGGTGGGATTCAAATCAACAAACTCACTCAGAGATAAACTTCATCGGTTTAAAAGATCCAATAGACTCAATTAAAACAAAATAATTTGATCTACTGATGTCAAATTAGTTGGCCAGGGAGTCAGTTAGACTATTGGAACATAAGAAATTACTTAACTGTTAAGTGATACACCACACTAGAATAATTATTCAAGTCAATATTTTTTCTAGATTAATTATTCTAGTGTGGTGTATCACTTAACAGTTAAGTAATTTCTTATGTTTCAATAGTCTAACTGACTCCCTGGCCAACTATTTTGACATCAGTAGATCAAATTATTTTGTTTTAATTGAGTCTATTGGATCTTTTAAACCGACGAAGTTTATCTCTGAGTGAGCTTGTTGATTTGAATCCCACCCTAATTCCAATGTTGTTAATAATTCTACATAAAGTTTCTAATGTTCCTTCTTTATCTGATAACATGATAAATGCCTTAAACTCTCTTCTATCTGTATTGTTTTTACCATCCATAATTACTAATACTACTTCGTTTCTTATCAATTACAAGTTTCTCAACAAACTCAAAAGGGTAATTATTGATTCCTTTCGATTCACTAGTTAATCTTCTAACGGTATTATTATATAAACCCAGTTTAACTGATATTAAATGAGAGATGACCTAAAGTCGAGATACCTCTCAGTGTATTGTTTCCGTATGAATGTAGCATCTAAACCATCTCGTGTTCTTCAATTTACTTTGCAATCCAGCACACTTAGTTCTTGTTAATTTTCTGAGTCGTTAATGAACTAAATTCCACCCACGAGTGAGTTTATATATGTGAAGAAACTGTCGATATGTTCTGACTTCAACACGATAAATGTGTCATCCTCTATATCTTAGAAGTAGGATTGAACATCCGAAAAGCCAACTGTTTCCAACTGACCATGAATATTTCTTCTACGATTTGAGATATAGGTAATTCCATTGCCACTTCTTCTGTTTGTCCATATATATTTTGTTTTGGAGCTTGAAAACTGTGGATGTTAGACACGACTGTTCACCTAATGTTTGATCATTGGATACCTTAGTTTTCTAAATATGTTCCTCTTCATCATCACTGCTGCTTGAACTATCACTTGAATCTGAGACAATAGCTTTGCTGACAACTTTCATTCGTTGTTTAGCTGATAATCCATCATCGCGTGAACTTGATAATCGAGATTTTTTACGCAGTGCACTACCACCATCATTCTTCGAGTCTGAACTATGACGTTTGTGAGCTTTTTTCTGTTTCGGTTGACTTTCATCAGGGTTTTCTGAACGATCAATAGCTTCACCAGAACTATCATTGCTTTCTTCATCACCAGAAGCAATGAAGTCATCTCGTTTTCGACTACCACCACCAGAACGACGTGATTTCTTTTCCTATAAAATATTTTCAATTTAAGTAAACAAAGCATTACGTTTAACGGTATGGAAGAGCTAATTGACAACTATACAAACAAGATACATAAATTTATTCTGTTTGTGAAGTGTCTACTAATAAACGCTTGTTGAATCCAATTCAACCTGATACATATTTATGTAGTGAACTGTGAATCACACTCGCTATCGGAGGGCTTACGATACTATCCAGCAGTCTACATCAAGGTAGACAGATAGAGAATGGGGTTAGGAGGAATCCGAAATGATGGTTTGGAAATCCAGTCCTTAGGTTAGTGAGTCATTGATACACCTTACAATTTCACCTAAAATAGTACCGTAATAAAGTAGTAGTATCCTTTTGCAAAAGAGAATCAGTATACAGATCCATACTACCTTGTTTGTCTACTCTTTTATTGAGAAAATTCAAAGTTTGACTTGAAGTGAGGGCTTACAGTATACCCAACATCTAAATATTTATTAAGCTGGCAGCAAACGTTTGCAGCTCAGAATTTAAAGATTCAAGTTGATTTCTTTTTAGAAGTCGCTTGAATGAAAATCAACATACTAAGTCATCAGCCAACCAGGTTGAAGTTTTGCACTTCAACTTCTTTTCATGTCGATGTATGATCAGGAAGAATCTAATTAGGCAATTTCGTTCTACGGTTGACCAATAAAAATAAGTTATTCAACTTTTGACCCGGTGGTTTTATATATTCATGAAAATTGTATATAACTGGTATATTTTTTTAGTCGAACAAAGTGTCTTCCTTACAATCGTAGGCCGGTCATTGCCTTCTGATTTTCGCACCTCAGTGAAGTATCACGTTATGAGTGAGAACAGTCACTACTCGTATCCAGTCCAAATGTGTCATCACACTGGCATAGTTCATCCATGGGCCACTTCAACAGATTACACAGTAACTGTATATGGATATATACAATAAGGATGTGAATTGCAATCCCTGTCTGACCTTTGAATGAATCAATATTCCAAGAAATATAACTAAGGATATAAAAAAACGAAGCATAACCCTTCAAAGAACACAATTTTCTAAACAACTAGTAATAATAATATAACGAATAACATACAAAAAGATGAAAATATATCAATTATACAAACCTCTGAAACCGGTTCAATTATTATCTGTTTAGCCTTCTCTAAGAAACGCCCACGTTCTTCTTCTAACCGTCGTTCACGATCGATTCTCATTTGTTCAGCCTGTTGTTGTAATTCCATTTGACGTCTGCGTTGTGCTTCACGTTCCTCTTCCTAAAGTGTACAAGTTGAAAGCGATTTATAAACTATATATATATATATATATATATATATATATATATATATATATATATATATATATTTGTCCCTTGGGTTCCTAGTGGAACGTAGGGCTTCAGTAGCACGTCTCCATTCCACTCTCTTCTCTGCAATCTTTTCAACCTGGCTCCATGATTGCCCAAAAGCCCTTATTTCTTACTCACACGATCTCCTCCATGTCACAGTCGGCACCGACGCCCAACTCGTCGTTTCCCATCTGGGTTCCACTCGAGCGACTGGCCTGGCGCATGATGTCCCCAGTCGGCCTTCTCAGTGTACGCCCAATCCATCTCCACTTCCTTGCAGTGCATATTTGTTCAGCGATACGTTCTTGGTTGGTTCGTCCCCAAAGTTCCTTGTTGCTTATTCTCATTATTCTGGCCATCTGATATTCAGTACCGAGCGTAGGTGGCAGCTGTTGATAAATGTCTTCAGTTTGTCGGAAATGGTTTTCGTGACGCGACAAGTCTCTGAACCATATAGAAGCACTGACTTGACATTGGTGTTGAAACTCCGGATCTTGTTCTTCAAGCTGAGTGCAGAAGACCTCTACACTGGTTTCGGGTTAATGAACGCCTGTCTTGCTATCTTTAAGATCATGGCTTTGACGACCTCGTCTGTGCCGCCTGTAGTTGAAACAGTGCTGCCTAGATAGGAGAAAGAGGCTACATCCCTTAAGTTTCTTCCGTTGATGGTGATTGCAGCTTCTTGTTGTTGGTGGCGTTGGTTGAGTATCATTATATATATATATATATATATATATATATATATATATATATATATATATATATATATATGAATAGCATGAAGAGCACTAAAGTAAATGTCCATAATGCGGATAAGGTATATCTTATAGCCTATTGTCTTATGGTGATATGCATTCTTTTCCATTAAATGTGTCAGCAATCTGCTAAAATAGTAATTGTAAACTTTCTTCTTTATGCGCAGATATTGATCTAGCTGACACACCTAAAAGTGAATCTTCTTTCAGCTATGTACCGATAACGTAGGCCCAAAAAATTAGTTAAGAGCGTAAAGAGTGTAATTAAAAACGACCATAGAAATAGTTTTTTAAAAAGATATAAATTAAATTTTACGTAAATGTTAAGGGTGTTGTATATCCCCAAAATTGAAAGTTTCATGTCTAATTTTCACAACTTTACTTTATGAGAAATTTGAATTATCTTTTTCGCGCCATTTTCTTCAATTATACTGCTCTTAAGACAGCTATTTCCCGATTGGTTATTCTCTCACATTTAGTATGCTAATTAGTTCATTCACTCCAAGGACGCTGCTCACAGTTTATATAAACGCAGGAATTGTGTCCTTAGATTCATACTTTCCATTAAAGTAAACTCTCTTCAGTTTAATATTGTCTTATTTTGTCAGTTGACCGAGATGTCAAGTATCTTTTATCCAGTAGTTAGATTACGCTTTCTCAATAAACACTACATCCAAGAATTTTCTTTTTTTATAATCTTAAAGAGATGGTAGTGAACTAACCTGACGTTTTCGAACAACACGTTCTTGTTCTTCACGTGATTTAGCTCTATCAAGGTGATATTTAGCTTGACTTAGTAAATCTTGACAAATACGAGCTTCATCAGTCGCCATAGCTTGATTTAAGACTTCATTCAATTTTGATAAATGATTAAATGTACTGAAATAGAAAGAGAATAAAGAATACAAATCAATACGTATAATAATAATAATAATTCTTAATATTAAGATTGATGAAATACAATCCATCATCGATCATATTCATCCATTATTAAGCAGTTATCTAGTTATTAAAAATAACAAACAATACAAGTCAACCATATCGATTGTTCAAAGGCTTATATGATACTCTTCAGTCACCTAGGCAAAACCAGAAGGAGTAAATTTTGAAGCTAAAAATTGTTGCTAGCCTGAAAGTTGAATTTTTAAGCCGATTAGCCACATCAGCCCTACTATATGGGACAAGAAAAAGATGCCGGAATTACATCTTTTTTTATATAGCGTTATATATTTTTAATGCTAAAAAAAAGTGAGAATTAGCAGTAAACGAAGAAGACCAACTTCAGTACAATGAAAATATTTCCTCTTGATAAAATGAACAGAAAATATCAAGTTCTATACATAGGAATTTACTATCTGTAGTGTTACTTTCGAGAGAAAGCCGTTAACACATCATAGCTCACAAAGTTTATTTAATACGATAAGGAGGATTTTCTGCACATTTTGTTCCCTTTCTGATAATAACACAACGATAATGGTTGAGTGACTTCAAAAGTCAGCTCCAACAACTAATAAACTAAACTAAAAACAAGCTCAATTGTTTTATTTCAGTGGATGATAGAAAACAGTACCATTCCCCTGAAAATCCTGAGAAACTAAATCTATTGAACACTACACTATTTGAGGAATTAGAAAATTGAAAAGAAAACTCTGCAAACACATCCAAATTAGTGCAATAAGCAATGAATTATATCTATTATGTGAAACCTAAAGATACTTTCCAGCTGGCCAGATAACTCATTCGATGTAGCGGGATTCAAACTCGTAACCCATTGTTCGTAAAATCTCAAACTTGGCTCTATAAGCTTCCTCTCTGATTGGTTGGCCCCAAGGTCAACCGATGAAATTCTACGCATACATGGGCTCTTATCATATAAGCACCCAGTAGTAATTAAAGGGTTTATTTTTTTTCTTGGTTAGTCTTTTTATTATTTTCAAGCGGTTGGGTTAGAGATTAGAATACACGGTTCTGGAATTTATTGCGGCTTATCTGTTTGTGTGTAGTGTATCGAACTACACCACAATCTTCAATTTAAATCATATCAGTAGTAGTTGCTGGAGTAACCTTTAAAGCCAATCCAATGGTGCCAATGAACTCGGTACGGATGTTCATGAAATACGCTGAGTCACATGCATCCAGTTGTTCAGGCTAAAGTAGATTGCTGGAAAGCGGCTGAAATGAAAATTAACATTTTAAGTCATCCGCCAATCAGATCGAAGTTTTGCACTTCAACTTCTTTTCATGTCAATAAGTGATCAGGAAGAATCCTATTGGATAATTTTATCCTACACTTGACTAATCAAAATGAGTTACTTTACTTTTGACCTAGTGGTTTTAAATATTCATGAAAATTGTATATAACTGATGTATTTTTGTCGAATGCAGTGTCTTTTTTTACAATCATAGATCAGTCTTTTTTATCGGACATTTTCTTGGCTCAGGTTATGAGGGATAAAAGTCTCTATTCATATCCAGTTCAACTGTCTCATCGTGTTAGTATTGTTCGCATATTTATTATTCACTCGACCATTTTATAGATTTGAATCCAAGACCTTTTTTTAAAAAGTCAACCGCTTAAACAGATGAATCTCATATCCACTGCACTGATATAGTAGCAATATCAGTTGGTTGGAGATAGTCGATTGGAAGCCTTGAACGAACTTAGGTCACGTGCTTGTTGGCACTCACCAAGAAGGTGCATCTGTAACCCCAAGGAAGTTGATGTCTCCAGAGAGATTCGAACTTGCATCGCCAGTACTGCAGTCAGAGATAATTACCACCAAACTCTTAGGGCAGCGACTAACCTTCTGTAGGACTGAATTAGATACACTGAATCGTCACTGGAGAGTAAACAATTTCATGTTGTCTAGTCGTGAATACTGGCAGAATTCTATCGATCAGTTTACAATATGGCCGCCAAGTTAGGCGATTCAGCATCACAGTGCACTTCAATTAAAAGCAGATATATCATACAAAATAACAGAAAAGTATTTACAGACTAAACTAAATAAAATCGTCATCAAAAGAAAAGGCGAGAAAAACTCATACAATTATGCATTTCATTTTCTTACCATCTAGCCATATTTAAATCAGCTATCGCTTCGCAAACAGATGAAAAACTACTAGTTTCATCTTGTAATACAGTAACTGCTAGTCTTTTTTGAACAAAAGCCAAATTGAATGTGAGTATAGGATCCCATGGTTTAACATGTCGAGCCTATATTTGATAGATAATCCAAAGTGAAAAATGATTAGTGAGGTGGGCATTTTTATTTTAATTTAAAAAAGAAAAAGGAATAACCGATTTTATGCATTAAAATATACTCTTCTTTTAAGGTACTACTAATCCACCTCTAAACCATAAGTATTTTCTGGTCTTAACGAATTCACTGTTTGAAAGTATTTCATAATAATAAAAAGAATTCATATATTATCCTCAACAATTGTTAAAAGTGAAGTTGAAAAAAAGTCACATTTGAATAGATACAATACAAACAATTGCATAATATACCTAGTTCTAGGGATATTATTCGATGTTCGCTTAAACTATCTTTATCTGGTTTAAAAGCTTTTGAAGTAGTATTCTGGGAGTTAGAACCAGATATACAAAAGAATTACGCCAAAGTAATGATTTTTCTTTATCTAGTGTCTTTGAGATACTCAAACACAATCCACCTTACTATGCGCTTTTCTATTGAACGTATGAGTAGAAATAGTTCACTTTGATAGAGTTTAACTCTTTACTGAATAAGTTTATTAAATATATAGCAAATTATAATAGAGTATCAATTAAGGGGTATTGATAATAATAAATAATATTCCATCACAGTGTGATGTATGTAGCAAATATAATTTTATTATTTTGACTATCTGAGATAGCCGTGGTTTGGTAGACTAGTATTAATAATGGATGATTGAAGGTGAAATGAAAATTTCGACCGTGGCCAGATTCGAGCCAGCGACCACCGGGGTTTTGGGTGTAATGTTCTACCAACTGAGCTACGAGATCCAACTGCTGACTAGAATTTTATTTCACTTCAATCACGAGTCTGCTGAACCACCACTATCTCAGATGAGAAGTCCTAATTAGGTAGCCAGTGTGAATACGACCAAGTAGTAGTAACTTATCACGAATTCACATGTTAGCAGGGCAAAATTCACCTTAATGATTGAAATGAAATAAAAATTTGGTCAGCCGTCGAACCTCGTAGCTCAGTTGTTAGAGCACTAGGTTGGAAACCTGGTGGTCGCTGGTTCGAATCCGGGTGAGGTTCAAATTTTCATTTCACTATCAATCATCATCCAGTATGAAATACAATTCCACTCAATATGCAGTTTTTTTGTTTCTAATTAGCTTTCTTTGTTAGCCCTAGTGATGATAACTTTCTTCCTTATTTTAACATCAATTTGGTTAGATCAAAATTATTGCATATTAAGAATAAAATTAATGATCCGTTCAATACATTAAACTAGTGTTACTACTCACAAACGATTGAAGGTGAAGCGAAAATTCGAACAAGCAACCCCATTGAGTTTCCGACTCAGAGACCTATCAGCTAAGCTAAGAGATCCAACTGCTAATCAGACTTTTATTTCACTTCAGTTATCAAGAAGTTTGTTCTACTGGCATGTGAATTCGTGATGAATTACTATATCGGCTAATTGTACTCATATAGGCTGCCCAATGAGAATTTCTTACCTCAATCCAAATCAACCTTGAATTAGAAAGGGAGATCATCATATTGGTTATCAGTTTGACTGTATAATCAAACACAGGTGGTAACTTAAATACTCAAAATGATAAAAAAGTATCACTGACAACCATTCCTACACTCTAATCTTATATAATAATAATTGATTAATTGTAATCACTTCCTACCTAGTTTATGTTTCTTTTTCACTACATAATTAGTGGTAACTGAACACGTGCTACAACACTGAGTTATGCTATTTGCTTTTCTGTTTATACTCATCACACTTTAAAAAGAGAAATTTTCTTTTCAAATACTCATTGTGTTCAAAATAAACAACAACAACATGATAATGATAATCATCATAATAAACAATATGTATGATAGTATGGAATTCATATAATTTTTCAACAAATCCCCTCCTAGAAAAATACTTTCAAACGAAATGGTTATTGCATCTGAATGATGTTAATAATAACAACAGTATTCAAGACAATAATATGAAATAGCCAGCTGGTTCTAGATGAGTATCCGGTCCATAATGAAAAATCAAGAGAAATCCAAGCGTAATTTTGTTGGTGATGATTTATTCAGACAGTACGAATATCTGAAACTCAAGCTAAGTATCTGATGGATAGAAATATGATGAACTTTTTTTGCACCAAAAAGTTCATTTCCATTTAACGTGATTTTTTCTTTGTTATTGACTCGGGAAATGGAGAGTTAAAATAGTTTGAAAATGTGCAAGAGTACATGATAAGTTCAAACGATATATTTAAATGATTAGAAGAAACTGAAAAGAAAGAATTTGATGAAAAATATTCCATGGATAAATTTAGTAGCCCTAGGTTCAAGCAGGCCGATAACGGATGTTTTCAAGTTGGTATTCATTATGGACTGGCATCATATAGAGGAAAATCGGAAATGTAAGAGCACTGAACAGCTGTTTCCTCGTAGTATGGGACTCCTCAGCAGTGCGGACCCATAACCCCATCCCGTGCGGGGTCGAACCTAGCACCTTCAGCTTCCGTGGTCAGCACGTTACCATCCAGTCACTGGGTCGAAATCCAATGGTCCATATTTCCTACTTCTGTCAGTTCACGACATAGCGCCACGGAAGTTGGGAATATGGGTCATCGGATTCCGAGACCCAATGGCTCAATCGCAACGTGCTAGCCACAGAACCTGAATGTCGTGGTCCCCATCCCTGATGAGGTGGAGTCGTGGGTGCGCACTGTTGAGAAGTCCTATACGAGAAGGAAACAGCCGTCCAGTGCCCCCAGATTTCCAATACTCCTCCAATTGATGTCAGTTCACGATGAATACCAACTTGAAAAAAAAATCAATAAATCCCTACAAACCCCAAATTAAATTGATCTAGTGCTCATTGGTGACGAGAAGTAGATAGACACAACACACACACATAATTTAGTAATTTCTGCTACAACTTTCGAATGGATTTCTGTTTCATTGGATTAAGCAGTTGACTTGAACCAATCGGTTACAGGTTCGAGACCTGTTCCCCCTACTGAGGTTTGAATAGTCAGATAGCATTATTAAACCTTACACAGTATAGTTGTGTCGTATTCCTAGATGAGAGAAAGCGTACAAAGTTGTTGAGTATATTTCATTACAAGAGTTTTGCTAGAAGATATTTGTTCAACGTTAATTTCACTCAATTGAACTTATCTTGGATAGTAGTAGTATAGTTTATAATATGTAGATTTAAGCAGATGAAGGAGTTGAACAGCGAGATGTTAATTGATAATTCTATTCCTTTTAAGCATCAACATAGTAATAATGTTAGGATATCAAAAATGTATAAGCAAAACTGTAAGTACAATTTATATCGTAGGAGGATTTCAACCGATAATCTCTATACTTAAATCCTATCGTAATTTATGTTACATTTCAATCTACTAAACTAACACCTCATTAAGAATATAAAAGTAATTTCATCATCATATTACAAGAAAAAAACAAACTGATAGTTACCTTCAATAGCATAGTTTTACATTCTTTTAATTGACCAGCTTTAAAATGAGCTCTGGCTAAATACTGTAACAATTCTGTATTATTCTGCCTAGAAAATTTCTTGATACAATTTTCATACTGATATTTTATTTGAAGGGATAGAAGTAGTGAAATAAAAATTGAAAAGAAATTTGGGAAGAAGAAAAGTAAATAATCAATATACTAAATGTATTCATTATTCAGGTCAAAAGTATACATATTTACTTATGATAATCAATAATAATTGGACGAAAGTAATATTTCAACATAAAATTCAGTATAGAATGAAATTAATTGGGAGGGGAACTATTCGAAACTAAGACGAGTATTGAAGAACTGACTTATGCTAGTTAAAGGCTACTTGATAGTATGCGATAAAAATACTCCATGAAGGATCGAAGTGATGATAGTAAATTTTTGTTACGAGCACCTGACTAATTAATCACTGGGTTAACGATCTAGTAACTTGAAGTTTTCTAACTTTATCAGTCCTGTTAAGTGAAGACGCTGACAAGATGCAAAGTCTTCTGAACACTGAGTGGGAATTTGAGAATGTTTGGGATGCGATTTTCACCACCCAAATGCTCCAGGACTGGCCTTCAGCGGTGCCCACCGTGGCTAACAATAGAGAGTGAAGGGGTTGAGTGTGTTGACCACTTCACTTACCACCTGGGAAGTAGGATCAACTCTGGTGGCTCAGTGGCCGATGAAATCTCTGCACGGATACAAAAGGCTCGATTGGCTTTTGCCAATTTGCGCCACCTATGGCGCCGCCGTGATATTCGTTTGTCTATTAAGAGTCGCGTGTACTGCACAGCAGTCCGCTCTGTTCTACTCTATGGCTGTGAAACATGGCCATTGAAAGTGGAGGATACAAAAAGGCTTCAGGTGTTTGACCACCGTTGCCTTCGAAGTATAAACCGTATTCCGTGGTGTCACCACATGAGTAATGCAGAAGTCAGGTGTAAGTGTAGAGTTTTAGGGAGAAGAGGTAAGTCAGTCGACGAGGTTGTGAACCTTTATCGACTGAAATGGTTGGGACACGTACTACGTATGCCTAGTCACCGATTGCCTCGTCACACAATGTTGGCTGAAGTAGGTCAGGGCTGCAAAAAGGCCTAAGATGGCCAGACTAAAACATGGTATCAATGTATGAAGTCTCTGACTGTTGGTTTAAGCCATGTAGGACGATGCAGACTAGGTGGTTGGGGTCCACGGGACAAGAGGAACCAGTGGTTGGAGACCCTAGGTGATATGGCTCAGAACCGAAGTCAGTGGCGCAGATGTATACACACATTATCCTCATCTTAACAACACTATACCGAATCTCACCATTTTGTCACTCCTCTTTCCTTTCTTCTCGTACTTTATATTTCTTTTGACTGCATTCACTTATCTTCATCCTTCGCCTCACTACCTTTTTAGTTGATGTGCTGATATGAGGTGTGGCAACTCGTACCGTTACGCAGTAATGCCTGGTCCTATGTTGATAATGATGATGATGAACTTAATCAGTGTGTGATATTGTGCGATCATTAACTAAGACTATAAATGGGTAGTAATCGTTATACCTGACTTGATTGACAACACAAGTGACAGCTTCATATCAGAATCTAAAAAATCCATATCGAATTGAGTCACTAAGGAAGAAAGAATCATGAAGTGATCACCAATGGATAAGACATTAAAGCAAAAACTTGACAATTAAGTCATTCACGCCACGACTGATACGTTTTAGGAATGGATTGTGTACACAAGGAGGTCACCAGTGAGTAACCAATGTAGTTGTGTTGTCTCTAATTGCTTAGTGCTGACTAGAGTTTATCGATTGAACTTATGTACGATCAGCTGCATTGATGCAGATGTAGAATCCCTATGTAACATTTTTGATAAATTTAGTAATTTATGACTTAATACTACCGTCTACAGAAAACCAACACAATCCTAGCAGGTGATCTACACTTTAAGTCATCTCTTCCAATGTCAGTTAACGCAGGTTTAGTCAAATATCTAAATGATACAGCTAGAAAAGCAACTAGTCAGTGCAACGACTGTACTGAAGTACATATAATAGCGACAACACAAGTAGAAATGAGTTCACAGTCTCCATTATGTTACCCTATAAAGAAATTACATCAGAAACTTTACGTAGGATTCTCCGCAAAACTGGAATTAGGGTGGCACTTAAACCTACAAACTCACTCAGAGATAAACTTGTGGAATTAAGGATCTGACAGAACCAATTAAGCGAAATAATCTATCAAATTGCATGTAATGACTCTGAGGTCAAGTATATAGGTCAAACTAGCCAGTCGCGGTCAGATAGAATAGTGGAACATCGGAATTTAGCTAAATATAGGATGACAAACCCTAATAAGATCAATAATACAGAAAAATACTCGACTATTGCAATTCATAGATTAACACATAACCACACAATAGAGTGGGTAGGATAAAACTATTGTACTCAAGTCCAATATAATTAGGTGGGGAGAGAGAGAGAGATCGTTCGTTCATCGAATCAACACTCAACACATGTAATCAGAATGACGCAATGCCGCCTTATACAAGAGATATGGAAAAATTTACTACCAATAAAAACAAAGAATGTCAGAAGATAGGACTATAAAAGTCAGATATCGAAAGGGGTGTGATTACATTAATACGATGATGATTATGAGCAATGATAATTTATGCTGGAAACATTATCAAGTAAATAATACCGTATCATTGTACTTTATATATCAGGCATACTTTAACCTTATCCTTTGGCTTTAACATCTCAGCACATATGCCATTCTTTTAAAATATACCCCCTCCCTCTCATCGAAACAATGAAACTCAATAAACAGAGGTTATCACATACCATTTGTATAGCAGCAGTGTACTGTTTTTGTTCTACATAAATATGTGCAATATTAATCCATACATCTGGGAAGTCAGCAGTGGCTTCTCGAACTTGTGCAAATACATCACGTGCTTCATTAACAAATCCTTTATGCGCAAGAACACAACCAATACCATGAGCAGCCCAAATATTTCGTGGATCAGCGCATAAAACAGCCTTGTAAAAAGATAAAGCTCGATCCTATAATTAAAAAAATTCCAAATTATAAGAGAAGTTTAATGTATAAGCAGCTGATTGGACAGCAAATATCTTGGTGGTTAGCAATGAAATTCAGGGTGTGCATTTCATCCTGTTTTGGACTCGTCAGCTGGACACACCTCCGCCCCAACGAGTGATATTGTTACCACTCAGACTCAAACCCGGTACTCTTCACTTCAACGCTAGGCCACCTCTTGTGCAACGGGTATCAGTTATTGCTTTTGATACTTTTAATCTTTCGTTGCTATGCATAGTCGAAGTGTACGACCTTGACTCCACTACTAGTCACCAAGATGAATACAACATCATGAATATCAGACAGTATAAAGGCATGCGCATAGCAGTCTATTTGCAAACAGAGGTCGAGCGAATTCGACCCTATATGGTAAGCAACGGGAAATGTCAAGTATCAAACAATAACTAGACAGGAATTTAGTATTTTCGCCCAAATCAATGAAGGAAACAACAGCTACTTCATAAAGCAATGCTTACTTCACTGTAAACGAAAAAATAGCTACTGAACTACGCTTAGTTGTAGTCTCAAGCTGAAGCGATAAAGCAAACCTTTCCTCAAACATCAGTTGGAGGAACTTTGGATCGGGGTCTAATGGCCTATATTTCCAACTTCTGTCATTTCACGACATACCGCGACCATCATCCAATGTCATCGTCGACTACTTGTCCTTACACGTCAACCAAATTCGCTCCACCGGTTATAACTGATGTCAGCTTGAAATCATTAAATCTCCACAAACCTCTAAATCAAATTGATCTAAAGGTTATTGGGGACTAAATTCGAGAAATGATTCCTGAAGATATGCAATCATTTAAGCTGATAACCCCTTAATCTACTCCTTCCTGGTGTAATTCACCTTCAATCATCATTAACATCAGCTAATAGTTTAATTACGAATTAATGCTGGAGAATTGATCTCGGCTAAGAGATCGATGCTACAACGCTATGGGTCGCTCAACAAAAAGCCTAGGATATATGCTGAATAACTAATAAGATACGTCTGCAAACTAGAGGGAATAAATGCTCCCAGTTGACAGATAGATATCTAACCAAGTGCTCAATGGAAAACAACAATAGATTTCTAAAATCCAAAAACAAACCGAACTAATAAAACAATAAGATTATATTGTAATGTTCAATAATGGCTTACCTGATGTCTTTTACGCTTATCTTTATCTCTGATAGGATGATGTAAAGTGGTAAGCCAGATATTGCCTAAACAAATACGTGCAAAAGCATCTGCTCTGTATGCTGGTTGTCTAATAACTCGATCAAATTTCTTTTGAGCTTGTTCTACTTCATTCTTACTTAAATGGAGCAATCCAATTAAACTCCAAGCATCTGGATTATCCTAAAATGAAAGTGAAAGAAGAAAAGCAATAGATTAGTTATCTACAGTTGATGACAAATAGAAACAGTAGAAATACATAACCGACGGGATATATGATAAAATACTTGACATAGTATGATTTCACAGACAATAGATGATCAGTATTAGCTGAAGTCTGCCGATCATGAAATGTACTGTGATCATTAGAGAAAACAAAATAAAAACATGTACAAGAAATGAGTAGCTATCATTCACTGTCTTAACCAATTCATCAATGGATTATGTATTAGGAGCTGGTTGAATCAAACAAGGTCTAGGCAGCTGGGTATGATCAATAGTCCGAGTAAAATAGTTTTGACGTAGAGCCTAACGCAAGAGAACACCTACATGGTTGCAGAGTTGTGTCAATCACTCAGCTAGTCAAACAAGTTTTTTCAGTAAACAGAAGATCAACTGTACATAAAGTTAATCAATCAACCTCATATCAATATTTTATTGTACACAAGAGAAGAATCTCGATAGTCAAATGAATAGGTGTACACAAGAACTAAGGAATACCAAAAATAGGCTTCCGATAAAACTATTCAGCAGAACTTAAAACGCACAAACTTGAACCTCAACCATGTAACAGATCGTGTACGATGGGACTTGAGAACATGTTTTTTGGGCTCTATTGCATGCCACTATTGCTAAGCTTATTTCTTTTCAGGTACCTCAAGAAAAATAACCAGGAGAAAACAACCACCCTTACAACTCTGTCAACAGTCAACTTTCTTCAAACCACTATCAAACGTTTACATCTGCACCTAAGTATTTTTCTTCACTTCGTTTCATCAATATTACTATACCCTCTCTAATTTTTTCTGCATCTTGAGTTCTTGCCAATAATTCGAGTTCACGGGTCAGCAATCTTGGTCTCCTGAAACTGTGCTCAAAAGGTTTTGAGCATCCACACACACATATCCGTCAAATCAGGCAACAAGCTCCGCCAGCATCTCAGATCACGAACGTTTGCCATCTCGGGAGCACAAATAGTAGCCAGGAACGGTTATTCACTTAACCTCACCCTATCAATATGATAAATCTGCGAAATTCACTCTAGGATTTTCTAGAGATTCGACAGCCAGTTCTCGCAGTCTAGCATTGGACCCCATGGCAGAAAGTGTACTGCTCGACTGGATTCCAGCTTACAGTCACCTGTGCGCTGCTCAAATGAACGATACAGTGAGGATTAAAAAGAATTGTGAAACCCACAGCTTTCTCTTTGCACATACAACTACTAGCTGCAGTTGGAATGAAGTGAATGATTAGTTCCACCAAAAACTGTCTAACGTTCTACTGAAAGACACGTTCAGAATCGCTTTTCATAGCAGGTGATTTCACTACAAAAGTGGATGAGCTAAATCAAGCAGAAAGGTATATGGGTGATAATTTCAAAATCTCAACCGAACTAATAGAAAATGGCGATCGCTTGATACGAATGCGTTCAAAAAACACTCAGATCGAATTTAGACATCCACTGACCTCAACTTAACAGTGGGCATAAATAAGTTACATCATCATCAGGTAGGTTTAGTTGAAGATTGCTTTACTTTTAGAGCACGTTTGGACAGAGATTACGCCTACACCTGCACCTAAATAAAAAAAACTAAAGTAGTAAGGTCATTATGAAAGCGGATTTGGTGATCACAATACTAAGGGTACTTTCAATGAGGAGAATAACAGACAATTATCGGAAACGAACATCACTGATCCAGAAGCCTGGTGATATTTTCAGTCCATACTAAACACTGCGTTAAAGAAGATAACTGACTTATAAAAAGTGCTTAGAAAACGCTAATAGATCTCAGCAACTTCTTTAGAAGTGATGAGTTAACGTGGACATGTTTCTGCACGGTCCGAGCACAATGAGTGGTGGAAACAACTCAGTGAGAAGTTGATCCAATGACAGCAAGTAGTGAAGGCTAAAGGGGGAAAAGCCACAGTGGTACGTAACAGTCGACAGTTGATAGGATGATCAAGGGAACTAGAGCAAAAAAAATCAACGATAGTGTGATTATAGAAAAGAATGTGCACCCGACTCGATCACAGAAGAGACTATGCGAACGATACGTGGAACACTTCAAGGTACAATTCAACTGGTTCCAACGACTTTCCCGTTGCCCGCTACCTAATCTGATCCCGAATAGAACATCGAAACAGGGTGAACAACTCTCGTCGAAGTTGGGAACGCAGTGGGTAACCTGAAAGGAGAAAGGGTGTTAAAGCTACATAGGCTAGTACCAAACGTACTGAAGAATAGTGGTAAGGGATTATTGATCAGATTCACTAAAGCGATGGCCAGGGTATGGGAATCAGATGTGATCCCCTTTGACTGATCTCAATCACTGATTACCCCAGTCTTCAAGAGGGGGGAGAAATTTTCTTGTAATAACCATAGGGGAATCAACCTGACGAATACAAACTCTAATATTTTAGATTTTATAAACATTAGATTGAACCCAAGGAAACCATGCAGGTTTGAAATCTAACCATGGGAGCAGAGACCAGCTATTCACTTCCCACAAGGTTCTGGAAAACAGACACAGCTAACCACGCTCGACACTAGATATATTTTTCAACGTGAAGCAGCCTTCGACTCTGTTAAGCGAGAGGTCTTATGGCAGTATCTTCCACTGAAGAGTGTCAGACAAATATATGACCCTATCGAAGGCTCTGCATTCGAACACCATTAGGGGGGTTTACAGACTATAGTGACTTATTATGATGGGTTGTGTACGTCGAATGATATCCCTCACCGACGTGAACTCCCTCTATTCTTAGTTAACTTTGTCATAGATTTAGTCAAGGAAGTCTCCTTTCCGCCTTCTGACTTTAAATAGATTAACTTTGTCACATGAGACTCCTTGGTAAACCCAGAGTACGCAGACGACAAAGCCCTTTTTGATGGTGTTGACGACACGCAGTCTTCTGGACATGTTGAGTGACAGTTTGAGATGTGTTTCTCATCATCAAAATGCGAACTGTTGCTCCAAGACAGATATTAAACTGTGACCACTCCAATTACTTCAGAAGGGGGGTCAGTCGTGTATCATTGACCCAGAAAATCTCAAGTCTCGCCATTTATGGCACCAACATGATATCCGACTACCTACTGAGGGTCGAGTGTACTGTGCTGCAGTTCACTAATTTCGACTATGTGGTTTCCAAACATAGTTATCAAATGAAGAGGATATGAGAAGATTCCATGTGTCCAACCACTATTGACTTCGCAGCATAGGCCGTGTGTCCTGGTGCCACCACTTCAGTAACGTAGAAGTCATGGGCAGAGTCTTTGACAAAACAGGTAAGTTAGTTGATGAGGTTGCGAACCATAACCTAATCAGATGATTAGAATATGTGTCACACATGTCTAGTTACCATATGACACATAGCAGAATATTAACAGAAGTATGTTTAGGTTGGAAAAACGTTACAACTGCCCAGACTAAAACATGGCATAAGTCTATTCAGTCTTTGACCATTGGTTTCAGTTGTGAGGGTAGATGTTGGCAGTTGAGGCCCTAGGTGGCCTAGAATCAATCTCAGTGTCGCAAATGCATTCGCCACATATTATCTCCGTCTTAAAAGCCATACCGAATTTCATTTGTTTTTCTTTTCATCGCTTCGTGTACCCTTTTCACGATCTCCCACTACTATCGATGACTTTCCCCATTACTTATCCATTTTTAATCTTGGTATCTTCTGTGTTGATTTTTTGAGAAGAGTAGCGGTCACTTAGACCGTCACACAGTAATTTCAGGTCCCACAGTGATATTAATGACTGACCGATGGACTGACTGAGTCTTCACAGTTTTTGCCTAAAACCAAGATGAGATCAACCGATTCTACGGTGATCGACAGTAATGTAAACAATAAATTAGTAGCTGAAATGTTATTGCAAGTGTATTACTCATAGTGTAGTGGGCGTTGCTGATCAGAATGGACATAAATAGTATATGTTGAAAAGGAGGCAGAAATCATAGGCAATTACCAGCAATGGGTAAAGATTCTGCCGAGAGAAACACAAGAAACAACGCAGGCATATTAAGAGCAAATTGAGATAGAAGCAGAAGAGGAAATGAAGTAAACTGTGCAAATGACCGTTTTAGTACAAGGTGTGCAATAAGTCATCACTACTGTACACGATGTCAATAATAAACATTCCCTCCTTCTTGCGTCTCAGTCTTGTCGTTTCCTACAATTGGTGTCACTGCTTCTGGATGTGATGAAGATTCCGTGGACTCCAGTGTTCGAAAACAGAAACATAAAGGTCTTTCTCACGGACTCCTCGACAGTCGCCGAGCTGGTGGGTGTCCGGGATCCCAGAGAAAAGATTGTGGTGCTTAGCACGTTGCTGAGGAGTAGGGCGAAAGCGGTATATGACAGTGTGAAACGTGCGATGGAAAGGAGATTCGGGAGAGAATGGTTGAATGACTGGAGGTGAAGTCCGACAGTTCAACGGACAGGGGAGCTGGCGATGCAGCGGTTCCGGAGCACAAAACTTGGAATAGACGAAAATCCGCTGGTATTGGCTGTGAAGTTGACGAAACTATTTCGACGAGCACTTCCCACTTTGGATGAGGACTCCCAAGCATAGTTGCTGGATGCACAGTTCACTGAAAGTGTCCCAGATGCCATCGCCCAGAAGTTACAACTAGTAAATGCAGCCCAACCCATGGATATTAGTGGGCTGGGAAGGATGACCAGACAGCTGATTGGTACAACATTAGCTACGGTGGAGTCATCAGAGGTGAATAACTGGAGAAAAAAAGTCGATAACCTTCGAGAGGCAATGGTCGCACTTTGAAACACCCAGTACAATGAGTGCGCACTGCTAAGGAGGGCCATAATAGGATGAAACAGTTGTTCAATGTTCCTTCAACCGATATCAGTCCATGATGAATTCCAACATGAACATAATAAAATATCCTTCAGTCATTCACTTCCAGTACATATTTATACTGGCTTATTACTCAGACATAAAAACACCTTCAGAAATTCTAGAGAACAAGAATATATAAACAGAATTTGATAAAAGAGATCGATATCCCTAAACATGATGATTAAGTAAGAAAGATTAAATCAAATACTGATAAGTGGTAAATCATTTAAACTGTACTGTAATTAATATTGTCTAATATTGTCAAACAGAAATGATCAAATTGAACACTTTTTTTTTCTATTTTACCTGATCCACATCTAAAGCTTCCTTGAACCAAATTGAAGCATCACGAATTTGTCCTCGATCACGTGCAATACAACCCAAACGAATATAACCTGATTTGTAAAATTTTATACTATTTTCAAATTATCACATTATATTACTTTCAAATAGTAAACAAAAATAGACAATTTTCAAGTCAATCAAATTGTTGACATGCAAGAAATTGATTGGAGAAAAATAATCTTAAGGATATTTCATTAGTGAATAAACTTGTTATGCATTGTATGTCACTAGATATTTTCAAATCATACGTAAGATTTTACAGTGAACCAGTATACTCAGTAGCAAGACGATAGACCATTGCTTCGATTTTCACAAGCATCTTATTGTTGACAGGAAGATGATACTTGGTTAGTTATATCGATTTGAAAAAGATCAAAAACACACGATCTTTCTGACTGAAAATTAGCTGAGTTAAACTAGAAAAACTTCAAAACCTCTTACTGTCACAAACGAAGTGTAATGTAGAGATAGGAGAGATGAAGTGTGTCTAGAGTTAATCTTCGCCATTAAAATGAAGACAAAATTATCAACACCTTAATACTATCCCTTTGTGAATAATGATTAGGAGCCTGACTTCACCCTAGTGTTAATTTGCTTTTTAAATTATCAAGATGACTTTTCTCCTATCTTTCCCTCAAAACAACCTTTCTGGTATGATAGAACTGCAAGAAACAAGCTTCCTAACCAATATAACATAGATGGACCATTATGACAGAGACGTTTAATAACTACCATAAATCATCTACTGTAATAAGATGTGATACATTTCCATGCAACTCAGTCATCAAATAAAACTCAATCACAAAACATATAAGTTCTTTTTGATTCATCTTGACATACAAGGCAATTGGACTGATAAGACTGTGGACCCTAATCGGCTGAGATGGCTTTGAAATATATTGCGTATCTTCGTTGTATTATGTTCTCTGAACTGGGTTGCTCAGTCGTGAAGCTTTCGTCGTCTTTCTAGACGATATCAGAAGTAGTGATGCATAGACTGGAAGCCATCATTCTACTTGTGATGAAACTAAAAATTTGGATTCGCTATTGTGGACGACACTTTCGTCATCATTAAAAAAGGTAATATAAAAAACACTAACAGTTTGATCAATAACGTTTTCAATGACATCAAATTCATAATGGAGAAGGAGTCAAACAATCAACTACCATTCCTGGATGTTTTAGCCAGTAGGACAAATGCCGGAAAGCTGGGAACCCAAGTGTATAGGAAGCCAACACACACTGACCAAATCCTCAACTACAGTAGCAACAACCAAACAACACACAAAATTAGTTGGATGCAAACCCTGTTCAAAAGAGAGAGAACAAACTACAGTACAACAATTTCAAGTAGAAACGAAGGAAAATACTTGGTATTCACTCTTATGAAGAACGGCTACCTATGACACTTTATCAGAAGATGCCCATCCCGTACATCATCAATTACAAGGTCATCGAAAGAAATCATCGAACGCATCATCCTACCATATATAAAGAATATATCATAAATCACGACAAGATTACTGAAACCACTTGGAATCGGTGTGGTTCAAAAGATCGAGAAAACACTGCACTGCAGTGCAACAACTTCATGGAGAAACGGAGAAAACTACTTGATGTCCATCCTTAAGAAAAACGGCTACCGATGGAAATTTATCAGAAGATGCTTATCCCGTACATCATCAACTACAAAGTCATTGACAGAAATCAATAAACGTATCATTCTACAATACATAAAGAATATATCAGAAATCATGACAAGATTATTGAAACCACTTGGAATCGGTGTGGTTCATAATGCAACAAATTCCCCACAAACACTATTATGCGGACCAAAGGATGCAACAATCAAAGAAGACAAACAGAATATCATTTACAAAACTGACTGCAATAACTGTAGTCAACACTACATTGGACAAAGTGGTTGCCCTCTTCGCCTTCGTCTACATGAGCACCAATTGACTATTAAACATCACGACATTTCATTATTCATTTCAATTCACGTGGTAATTATGAACATGAATTCAATTTCGACAATGTAGAAATTTTGGACAGAGGAAACACAAAGAATATCAGAGAATTCCTAAAAGCTTGGCATTCAGGTCAGTCAGTCAGAAATCAATAGATGTATAGACATAGACCCAATCTATCAACAGCCAATCGTAAAGTCTGTACAGTCAATGACATAACAATCAAAGGAAACAACCAATTATAAACCAGTTCGTTAGGAAAGCTACTAAATCACTTACGGAGAGATATTGACAGCTCACTTCATGCTAAAGTTAGAGCTGATGATGTCATCTAGAAAGACGATGAAAGCTTCACGATTAAACAACCCAGCTCAGAGAAGATAATACAACCAAGACCATCCACCTGAGCTACAAATATTCCCCATTATTTCATATGTTGCGTATGCTGAGCCATCGTCTACCTCGACATGTCATGGTAGGTGGACGTTGGATTAGGTTAGAAGAGGGTTCAGGGGGGCCAGACCAAGACCCGGCAACAGTCGATTAAGTCAAACTATGTCTGGTTGGGGTCCCCATGGCGAAATGAATTAGTGGTTGAGGACTCTTGATGATACGGTTGAAAATCGGTCTCAGTGGCTCAGATGTATTCACTCCTTGACATCTAAAGCTTAAATATTTGGACTAACCTTTATCTGCAAATAGTTTATTCTTTCACACAGCTTTGTTTACTTTAATATCACTCTTTTTCTATCCACCTGTTTTTTGTATACTACTGTGAAGTATGACAACTTGGACCGATGTATTTGTGTGCCAGGTTCTAAGTTAGTTTCGTCTATCTGTTTGTGTATCTATCCCAAGCAACAACCTATGAACAAACCAGATGATAACCTAAAAACAACAACTGACCGTCATATATTATTGTCTATTAAACTATTACCATTATTATTAACACTATTTAGATGCCATAGCTGTTCATTTGCAAATACTATACAAGGAGTTTTTTAAAATATGACACAGAATATCATACTGTAACAACAATATTCCAAGTTGGTATTCACCGTGGGCTGACATCATTTGAATGAGAACACTGAAAACCTGGGAGAACTGGACAGCTGTTCCCTCCTAGCATGGGACTCCTCAGCAGCGCGCACCCATGACCCCACCCCGCTAGGGATCGAACCCGCGACCTTCAGGTTCCATGGCCAGCACGTTACTACTGAGCCATTGGATTAGAATCTAGTGGTCAATACCTCCAACTTTTATCAGTTCACGGTATAGCACGATCAATCTCATTCAATTTCATCGTTTAGTACTTGTCCTCACACGTCCAACCAGGTTTGCCCCACCGGTTACAACTGATGTCAGTTCATGATGAACAGCAACTTGAAATTAATAAATCTTAACAAACCTCTAGATTGAATAAATTGATTAGTATTATCATTATTATCCTTAAATGAAAGTGACAAGAAAATCAATCAATTTTGATCACTTAAAAGTTATTTTTCACTCAGTTCTATAAGGCAGGAAAAGGAGTATATGAAAACAATGAATTAGGTAAGAATTATAATCTATGAAGATGAAGGAAGGTGAAGCGTCAACAAACACAACTTAATTTCATAGAAAATTTACTCATATGTATTTTTTTTCTATATTCATCATATAATAAACTTACATTCAATGTAGCTTGGATGTCGAAGTAGAATACTCTTATAAATTTCTTCAGCTAAATCAGATCTACCTTGAGCTTCATGAAGTCTTGCTTGATTATAACGAACAGTAACACCTAGCCCATGATAATAATCATCATTGGATGAGATAGTACCACCACCAGTGGTATCAGCAGATTCATTTTCTTCATGTCTCTGCTCTTCAAGAATACGATCATATGCACGTGTGAAAAATTCCTATTATGAAAAAAGAAAGTGGAATCACGATAAGAAGTGTATTTTATAACTTGTTACCTTTAAAGGATGTTATCGTCAGGGATGCTTAATCCCGAAGAAAAACTAACTTATAGGACGTATATGTCATCAGTATGCTCCCTTTGTGCGTCATGAGATGTTACTTATTTTACCACTTGACTATCTGAGATAGCCGTAGTTTGGCAGACTTGTATTTATACTGGGTGATGAATACGATCAAGAAGTAGGAACATGTCACGAATTCATATGGTAGTCGGGTAAAACACACTTTAGTGACTGAAGTGAAAAAAAAACCTGGTCTGCAGTCCGACCTCATAACTCAGTTGGTAGATCATCGGGTGGAAACCCAGTGGTCACTGGTCCGAGTCCGGCAACGAACTAAATTTCCATTTCACCCTCAATCATTACCTAGTATCAATAATACAAGTCTACCAAACCACGGCTATCTCAAACAGTCAAAATGATAATCATCAATATGATGCTCTCCATCTCTGACTCAGTTACATTTGGATCGGGATGAAAGTGCCGGTTGGGCAGTCCATGTGAATACGATTAAGGGACAGCAACGCAACACCAATTCACATAATAGTCGGGTAAAACACACCTTAGTGATTGAAGTGAAATAAAAATCCGATCAACAGTCCGACCAATCGTAGTTCAAGTTAATAGAGCACCAGGTCAGAAACCAAGTGGTCGCTGGTTCGAATCCGGCAATAGTTCAAATTTTCACTTCACCTTCAATCATCACCCAGTATAAATACTTATTTTTACCGAGATTTACTATACTAAACGCTAATTGGTCCATTTAACACTTTTAATATGCTATTTTGTTTTCCCTAGGCAAGGCTATGTAAGGAAATATAAACGACTGAGTTTTCAGGTAGATTATTATCTTCTAGTGTCAGTTGAATGTCGTGCTGAGAAGTCATTGTTCTATCGTTAATCGTATCACATGGGAGCATTGTATCGTTATATATACCGTGGATTATAACAGTTATCAATAACAATCAAGTGGAATCATGAAAAAGGATAGAAAACTCAAAAAAATTAGCCTAACTGATTGATCAGTATAATCAACACCTTACCAGAGAGGAAGACAAATGGAATGATGAAAAATACTGTAGGAAAATGTAATAGTTCAAGTTATTTAAGTTTGGAACATTATAAAAAGTGAATGCCAACAGAAAGATACTGAATGAATGAAACAGTCGGAAATCTGAAAAAAAATCACAATTACAGAATGAAATGTTAACAATTTGAAAAATGAAAGAAAAAAAACATAAATAAAAACATCAGTATGATTGCGATCAATTTTGTGCCATCTCATTGAAAGTACTAAAATACTATTGATTCGTAACATCTTAATAAACCCTAAGTAGATTATTTGACACTTTATTCATCATTATAAGAGTAAAATTTGACCACTGTGCTAATATATAATATAATTCCATTCCAGTTGATTTAATCGACTTAGTGAATAATTTTTCAGACAGAAAATATGTCTCAAAGTTGTAGAGTTATCCTGATTCGACTATAGACAATAATAATGGTTATAGTTATTATAATGTTGCTAGTTGATGACGTAAGGATTGGATGATAACAAAAGGGGTTACGTAAGATTTTCTGAAAATGGCATGTAAATCACAAACGGGTGAAAAGGTTGTAGAGTTGATAAATAGTCAAAGGATTGAGTAATATGAATAAGTTAAGTGGAATAAAGTGAAAATGGGTGATAATTGAAGGTGAAATGAAAATATGAACTGCGGACGTACTCGAACCAATGACCACTGAGTTTTCGGCCTAGTGTTCTCTACCAAATGAGTCACAAGATTAGGAAACTAAACAAATCAAGACCGAAATAAGTTAAAGCCAAGGTAGAGACAAAAACTGTACAAACTGCTTTCGCACACAAAATTCAGGGTTCAGTTCATAGATAACCAAGGCATCTGTTGTTTTTAGAAGCTTAAAACAGAGAATATATGAGATGTTTGAGCGAATTCGATAGATAATCGTAAAATCATTGTTTGAGCTGGTTGAATGGTTAGAATCGATTAGATGTTGAAGGATAGAACTTCTAATGTATTTTCTTTCACCTTTCTAAAACTAGGCGAGAATATGTTGTTGTATACATGTTGACAGCAATCTCTGACTACGACCATTGTACCTTCCTGTCACTCACTCTGCTATCGAATACGTAATATTTGTAGCATAGACTGTGTCCAAGTTAAACTTGACTTTCTAAGAGGGACGCTTGCAGAAAACAGCTATTCTAGTCGATTTGTTGATAAGAATATACGACAAAGACATGCGAAACCAGTGATCAGGTCAGTTTATAAAAAGACTTTGTTCATGAATACGGAATCTAAAGGTGATGCAGCACCAGACATCCAGAAAAATCGTCTTTCGAGATCTATCAGCAGGAGTCTTTTCTCACCCAAACTTCATTTGACCTTTATTATCATTGATTATAATTATTGTTCTCCGTTTGTGTAAAAGACAATAGCTTTTGACAGCCCACCTCCATATGTATCTACCAGCTCATCTGCTCCTGTAGACCGAGATACATTGGTCGTAGTCAGAGATTGCTGTCAACATGTATACAACAACATATTCCCGCCTAGTTTTAGAAAGGTGAAAGAAAATACATTAGAAGTTCTATCCTTCAACATCTAATCGATTCTAACCATTCAACCAGCTCAAACAATGATTTTACGATCGTCTATCGAATTCGCTTAAACATCTCATGTATTCTCTGTTTTAAGCTTCTAAAAACAGCAGATGCCTTGGTTATCTATGAACTGAACCCTGAATTTTGTGTGCGAAAGCAGTTTGTACAGTCTTTGTCTTTACCTTGGTTTGGTCTTGATTTGTTTCGTTCCTTTTTTGTTTTTTCAACTCCCTTTCTTTTCTTAGATGAATCTTTGTACTATTATATCGTTATTATCATTTTTATTTTTACATTTAATAGTTTTCGGTGTTACTTAGTTTGGTCTTCTTAATAATTGCAATTTTAACAAAACATTTTCAACTTATTTCAGCCAACTTGTCTCATTCACGTTACCTAATCCTTTGATTGTTTATTAACTCTATCACGTTTTCACTCTTTTGTAACCTATATACACCTTACAAACGATCGAGAAAATCTTACGTAACCCTTTTTGTTATCATCCAACCTTAACCTCATCAACTAGCAAAATTATAATAACTATTATAATAACTATAACTATAACTATTATAATAACTATTATAATAACTATTGTTATTTAAATTTAATCGCGGCCCGAATAGCTCAGTGGTAAAGTCGCTGACTACAACACTGGGTGACGCGGGCTCGAATCTTAGGCAGGACATCAGTTCCGTCGAGGTTGCAGATACGCCTTGCTGACGAGTGCCAAAAAGCACGAAACCTGGATCCATGGCTTTCTGCTGATTGCCTCCAACCACTAATGTGCATCGCGATGCTGAGCTTCCTAGCTTGGTTGCCATATTGCTAATATGATCGATAGAATTCGGTCTGCACTCAGGACTAGACAACAAGAAATTGGTTGCACTTCCGTGACCAATCAATACATGTAAGCCAGTCCTACAGGAGGTCAGTCGCGACCTGAATAGCTCAGTGGTAAAGTCGCTGACTACAACACTGGGTGACGCGGGCTCGAATCTTAGGCAGGACATCAGTTCCGTCGAGGTTGCAGATACGCCTTGCTGACGAGTGCCGAAAAGCATGAAACCTAGGTCCATGGCTTCCTGTCGATTGCCTCCAACCAACTAAAATTTAATCCTCCTCACAGATTGGAGTCTTTAAATATCATATATGATATGGTGATTGAAGGTGGAAGAAAAATCTGGACTTCAGCTGGATCCGAACCAGTGACTATAGGGTTTCCGACCCAATACTCTACCAACTGAACTACGAGGTCCGACTGCTGAACATATTTTTATTTCACTTCAATCACCAGGGTGGGTTTAACCCGACTACCATTTGAATTCGCGATGCGTCAATATCGCCTGATCTTATTCATACTGGTTACTCAATCAGGACTTCTCATTCCAATCCAAATCTAGCTGAATTGGAGAAGGGGAGCATCATATTGATTATCATTTTCACTATCCGAGATAGCTGTTTTTCTGCCAAACGTAAGCCTGTAAATAATACTGTTTTCCTATGTGATAAGTATGATCAATCAACTAAAATGAAGCTTCCTTGCGCAATTTAAATGAACAAACGATAACTTTATTGATGATATGATTTAAAGTTCGACAAGCATGACATGGCTATACATTGAACAACAGATAACATGATATGAAACCGATGTGGTATACACGTTCTGATCCCTTAATTCAACCATTACCAGTTCAACGCAACCCCAAAACAGGAAATCTAAAAAGCTTTCTGGCACTCCCAGTGATAAGAATATAGGGGACAAAATGCAAGCATTTATGGGCTTGGACAACGAGACGCTGAGAATGAAATGTAAACTTTCAAAGTTAATTTACAAATTCCACGAGAGTTGCAAGACTTTGGGATGGATCAACTAGAAAAACCAAAGTTCCTGTAGTTTTCGAAAGAACTGTTACCAATTAGTGATGCTTTTCCACGCCTCAGTCTCCCCACTCTTAGCTTTAACCAAATCTAACACTTATATAGCATGTTTAGATAGATGATGGCTCCATAAGCTACTAATCAGTAATTTCTCAACATGGTGCAAAACGTTGGTTTAAAATACCTTCATGACCTATAATGAACGGGATTGCATTAAGAACGACATCATACCATCATATTGAAAATTGACCAAAGGAACAAGATGAATAGTTCAGTCAAGATAACCTAGCTGGCGAGGATATTTTTAAAGTTTTACTCCAGTTTTTGGCTAACATCCCAGTTCTAGGTCAGACATCGTAAGTTTAAACATTACCATTTCTTGACCCGGGGAATAGATCACCTCAGTGAGTAGGAAGCATCTTTAGTAACTCAACCACATGAAAATGAACACTCCTGCCAGAGCACTGTGTTAACCGTCCCTTGAAATTGATCAGTGAATCCCTCAATCCCAACTATCAGACTTCAACGTATCCGGGTTCATCAAGTAATCGGCTTGTTGGCCGTACTCAACTCCTTGTGGGGAGACGTACGTGAGATATGTCTCACTGATTATTCACAATCTTGCAGAAAGCGATGCACCACACCTCCTCGGAACCGGACAACCACATTACAACGAAAATTCAGAAATGGACGCCCCTCTGAAACTACCTAAGAAATAGACTTTGGCTACAGTGAACGATACTCGGCATTCCGGACCGAATACCGTCTCACCTTCGCTAGCTAAACTATACCACGCCTGTTGAGACTGCTTCAACAACAGTGACTAACGAAATTAGGAAGCTGAGCTCTCTTACCTTATATTGCTGCACTGCTTCCAGCCCGCTAAGCGAAATACTTACGGTTAGCTAGCCTGTTCAAGCTTTGGAGATTCATGCCAATAACAAGTGTATACAGATCTCGTTGACTGCTATTATTGCTAAGTCAACTATGACGGTGTATTGGTAAGAATACGGTGGGGTTACAAAGAGGCTCACCATTGTTGCTTAACTAGTTCCGATCAGTATTCACCGATACACATGTCATCTCCAGCTTTCTTGGCCTGCAGCTCAAACAACTACACCACATAACAGTACCATGTAGAGCTTCTTCACAATGACGCTATAACCACGTAACTATGGCGAGACACATGACTACCTTGAGCGAAATATAGTTACTCCCGCCGAAAAATAGGTGCCAATAATACCAGTCTGCGCCAAAATACGGCTATCTTCTCAGAAAGTCACATCATCGATAACATAAAATCATCAAAGGGAATACGGAATACCACCTCAGTGTATAACTACTAGGAATAATTCACCGTCAAGTTTTACATTGTCTATATTAGAAATAGTTATTAAAAGGTGATAAACATTTGAAGATGAAATGAAATATACATGAAATAACAACCTACTTCAATTGAATATTATTTAAGGACACTTTGAAAGACAATAAACTCGGCTATATGAAAGAAGAGAAAAACAGATTTTATTTTCACTTACAGACGATTTGTCATATTCACCTTTCATAAAATGAAGAGTAGCTATGTTGTTCAATATTTCTGGAGCAATATCTAATTGGATATTTTGTAAAATTGTCAATGCTTTTGAATATGCCTCTAAAGCTTCATTTACATTGTTTTCTAACAGTTGAGCATATTCAATCCATGCTTCTACATCTTCAGGTTGACTTTCAGTTACCTGTTGAGAAAAGAAAATGTATAAAATAAAGAAACTGATTTGTTAAAAATGAGAGTATAAATTGAGGGTAGATCAGTGAATAATTTCCTGGTATTCATCATAGAGTGATATCAGTTGGAAGAACATTAGAGACCTGGGAGCACTGGACAACTGTTCCGTCCTACAATGCGACTCCTCAGCAGTGCGCACCCATGACCTTGCCACAACAGGGATCAAACCCACGACCTTCACGTTCCGTGGTTGGCACGTTACCATTGAGCTACTGTGTTGAATGAAATTCAACGGTCCATATTAGACCGTAGACCATCGGTGCGCACCGCTGAGGAGTCTCATACTAGGACGGAACAGCTGTACAATGCTCCTAGGTCTCCAATATCCCTCCAACTGATATCAGTCCATGATGAATACTAACTTGAAAAAAATCAGTAAACCTCCACAAATCTCAAATTAAATTGCTGATATTTGTGAAACGATGACTGGTAAGTTCGACTCCTAGTAAAGAAAAAAATAGATCAGTAACCAAATAACATAAAAACAAAGTAAACTTCCGAATAGAATACTGGAGCTTATTATTTGATTAAAAATGTATTAAATCGTCGGTTGGCAAATTCAAGTGGGATGTGAAACTTACAAAAGAGAAAGTATTTTAGACAATAAACCCGATAAACATATATGTGTCTACGTTTCCGCTGGTAGAAGGGGTCCTGTATGATTTAAACTTTGTGCTTTTTGGCCCTCGTTACCAAGGCGGATCCCCTGCGTCACTCATTGCTGAAAGCACACAGATCCTAACACTCAGCCATTCAGATCGAAAACAGAACATCAAAATTCAGTGCACTGCAGTACACCATGAGTATGGTTGCGGGGAGGGGGATCACATTGCAAACTTGATAGAAAAACTTTCATCAGGGCTCAGATAATCAGTACCAACGTGAGGTCTACCATTGCTGCGTAACGGTCCAAGTTGTTATAAGTGATATCAACATATCAATGCAAAAGGTATCAAGATGAAAGATACACAAATAAGGGAGAAAGTCATGGCAAGAAAACAAGAAGCGATGGTAGCATGACGAGTAAGACGAAGATTATGTGTGGTGGATACATCTGAGCCACTGATAGTGATTCTGAACCATATCACTCACAGCTTCAATCACTGATTTCGGTCTACACGTGTACTCCAAGCTGAAGGTCTACATCTCGCTAGACACCTAAAGTAAACAGTCAAAGACTTGATACAGTGACGTCATGTTTTAGTCTGTCCACTTCTAACCTTTCTCTAACCTAAGCATACTTCAGTTAATATTGTGCGATGACGTTGACTATGACTAGACATGCATAACACATATCCCAATCACCTGAGTTTATAAAATTTCACAACCTTACCAACTGACCTTCCTCTTCCAAAATAAAAATCGGTGTGCAACATACATGTTACTGACATGGCAGCACCATGACAAGTGACCTATGCTATGAAACCAACGTTGATCTAAAACAAGGAGCCTTCTGATATCCTTTAACTTTAACGGTCGTGTTTTACAACCATATAATACAACACAACAAACTATAGTGTCGGTCAGTGAACTACCCGGGCTGATCTTACTTCCTGAATAAGTGGAGAGGCCAATGCGTCTAACCGTTTCATTTTCTACTGTGAGGCAATGAACCAGTAAAGACCATTCCTGAAGCATTCGGGTAGCGAAAAACGCAGTCCAAGAACTCTAAAATTGCCACTCAATGCGTTCAGAAGACTCTATTTCTGGTCAGCATCTCCATCTAACATGATCATGTCATTTGCATACTCTACGTCGACACTTAAGAACTTCCTGTGCAAGGTGAATTACGACAAGTAATGGACACTAACAAGCACGTCTGACAAAAGTGACAAGAGAGAAAGACTTCATTATTGTAACGTACACGATTAGATGTAAACATCTGATAACTCATCATAGGCTCTAATACGCCTATAGGTTTTCTAACACAGTTTTCAACAAAATGATGTACTTATTTAGCACTCTTTTTTTGTGAGAGACACTACTGTAATATGACATCTCGGTTAACGGAGTTGAATGTCACCTTCGGACAGAGAAATACAACTAGGGTCGGGAATCCACAAGTGTGCCTGTGGACCAAAACCTGGTCAAGGTATTCCTATTATATAAATAAGACAAAATTAATGCATATTAAAATAACAATTAAAAAGTGGATTATTAAACTTGCTTGCTTAAATAACTGTTTCGATTGTGCTCTTTTATCAGGTTTATTCGATTGAGCATATAAACTGCCAAGTATTTTTAATGTTTCATAATTATTAGGATTATCTTTTAGTACACGTTCAAATGACATAGCAGCCTAATTGGTAAGAAAGAAAGCCCAAAAGACAAAACATTTTTAAACATTATTTATATGACGTCAAAAATCAAAATAAGTATTTATTATAGAAAAATACAAAATAAACAAAAATCAATGACTATTTTTTTTCTCTTGTTTTTCAGTAGTTCATCGGCTAATAATAACCAATGACACCTTGCACGTAATCCAACTGAGTATGACTGTTGTACGCGTAGGTGGATTTGTGGCTCAATGGTTTAGGGAGTTGACCATCGCCCAGTGAGTCATGGATTCGAACTCTGCCCCAGCTATCGAGGTTTGGGCAGATAGGTAGTATTATTAGTCTTCACATAAGAGGTATGGTCCATTGTCTACTGCATGAATATACGCGTAAAGGACTCAAATATATTGAATTCACTATTTTCCACTATTTAAAAAAGTACTTTCAGTTGCATCATCACTTATTGTGTAATCATCTTTGAATACTTGAGTTTTTAATACGGATTATTCATTAGTAGATATAGAAAGAAACTCATATATATTATAGGAAAGCAAGAGAAGTTAAATGAATACTACTGTGCTTAGAATAAATCAGTTAAGCTAAAGATACTATCACAGTAACTAATGGTTTTGCCAGTACTCCTCATCACTCTAGGAACTAACAGTCAGTAATTACTTATTTTCAGTTTGACTATCTCAGCCGTGGTCTGGAAGACTTGTATTGATCCTATGTGGTAATTGAAAGTGAATTCCTGCTGCGCCCCACATTTTCACTTCACCTTCAATCATTACCCAGTATCAATAATACAAGTTTGCCTAACTACAGCTATCTCAAATAGTCAAAATGATAATCATCATGATGCTCCCCTTCTCTAATTCAGTTACATTTGGATTCGAATGAGAAGTCCTGACTAGCCATCCAGTGTGAGTACAATCAGTCGGTAGTGATGTGTCACGAATTCATATGGTAGTCTGGTAAAATCCATCTTGGTGATTGGCGTGAGATAAGAATCTGTTCAGCAGTCGGACCTCGTAGCTGAGTTGTTAGAGCATCAGGTCGGAAACCCTATAGTCACTGGTTAGAATCCGGCGGCGATCCAAATTTTTATTTCACCTCCAATCATCATCTAGTATTAATTATTTATTTGACCATCTAGTAGATAAGGAGATAATCAAGAAACAAAAAGAAAGTAACAGACCATGTATATGAGGATGAGCTAAGAGCACAGTTAAAGAGAGAAGCTCTCAGGAACCTTTGAAATGATAACAATATGGTAATTGCCAAATCGGATAAATGCAACTCAACAGTTGTAATGAACAAATCTGAATACGTCTACAAAGTGAACGAGCGTATAGAAACAGGACCATATGAGGAAATTAAGAAGTGAGTGGATACTATTGCGAATAAGGTCGAGAAATCGACAGGGGATCTGATACTCCAGATGAAGCCATTTCTAGGTGAGTCAAAGTGGTTTAATTTAATGCCGAAAACTAATGATCCCAGTCGAATGTATGGTACTATTAAGATTCAAAAGCCAGGTTATCCCATCAGGCCCATAGTAGATTTTAGAAACACTCCGACTTACGAGTTGTCTAAATATTTAGCAATAGTGTTAGGTCCAATAAGAAATCACTCAAAGTCGACTTACCGACTCTTATGACTTAAAGCATAGATTAGACGACAGTGAAAAAATGGTTAGTTTTGACATAACTAGCCTTTACACAAATATAACGACTGATACGGCTCTAGAGGCAGTTAGATATGGGCTTAAAGATGACAAAGAACTTACACATCGAACTAAGGTGCCGATCGAGGAAATCATGCTAAGAGTTCGATTGTGCCTAACATCTACAGTTTTTAAGTTTCAAAATAAAATATATAAACAAACTTAAGGTGTTGCCACGGGACCACCAATATCCCCTATCGTTGCAGACATATTTATGGAAAGTTGGGAACAGATGGCCCTTCAAACATTTAGCCCCACTCCAAAGATATGGTTCCGATATGTAGATGATACGTTTACAGCACTGAAATCGGAACACATCAACAGCTTATTGGCACATATAAACTCAGTAGTGAATGCAATCCAATTTACCTGTGACTTAGAAAGTGAAGGTGAGCTAGCAATGTTGGGTTGCAAGATTAAACGAACACAAGAAGGAAATCTAGAGACTAGTGTCTATGGGAAACCTACCCATTCATATTGCTACTTAGACTTAGAACCATCGCATCCCATTTCAGTTGAAGTGATAGAGCGAAAAGCTTACTAGTAGATTGGAAAATCTGAGACAAGAAATTTGACACATCAAGAATACCCTACGTCTCAGTAATTACCCATCAAAATTTATAAAAAAATTCATAAGAAATCGAAAGAAAAATATTATGAGTGGTAGCAGTAGTAGTAGTAGTAATACAGGTGTTATTAATAATAATCCCACTACTAATGGTAATAATGGTGACAGGGTTGAGAGAGAATTCAAAGCCTCTGCTGTGTTACCTACCATACAAGGAAGGCACCTCAGAAGCATTACCAAGAATTCTCAATAAGCCTGTTGGGATTAAAGTGGCTGGCATTTAAACCAACAAACTCACTTAGAAACAAGCTTTGTAGGTTAAAATATCCTATCGATGCAATTAAGCAAAATAATCTGGTCTACCAGATCCCTTGCAATGATTGCGAGGTCAAGTACATAGGTCAAAGCAGTCGACCAGGGTCGATTAGAATAACAGAGCACAAAAACTTAGTTAAATCAGGATTAGTAGATCCTAATAAGATAAGAAATCTAGAGAAAAACTCGGCTATGGCTCTGCATGCGACGACACAATCACACAGTAGGGTGAGATAAGGCGACAGTTTTGAAAACTAACTTAGTTAGGTGGATGTAGAGATTGATAACTGAATCTTTGTTTATCGAATCAACACCAAACACATGCAATCGAAATGACTCTGCACCTGTCTCATATTATATGTGGAAAATTCTACTACCCTTGTCATCACAGAGAAGGAGAGAAAATTAGGAATATATAAAGGCTGTCTCGAAGTTGTGGAGTTACCTGATATGAATATGGACAATAAATTATGTCCGAAACGTTATCCAGTAAATGCTACTGTCTCACTGTGTGATATTTCTAATAAACAGACTAAAATGGAATTACAATCGACCACAATGCCCAAGTTTTACTCTTATATCAATGTCAGGATCTACTTACTATATATATCACAAACAGATGGGATACATACACACAAAAAGGAAAAAAAAGTCAAACTGTACTTACATGTTCCAGATCATTTCGATGTAAATACATTTGACCAAGACCATAGAAAGGTAGAATAAATGTTGATGAAGCAAGTTGTGTAGCTAAATAATAATATTGGAATGCATTATCATAATTTTCTTGCATATGAAATGCACGAGCCATTTGATAACAACTTTCAGCACGCATAGATTCAGTTTCTGTATTATAAAAAGCATGTAATGCTAATCGATGAACTTTTGCATATTCTTTTTTATAAAAAAAATGATCTGCTAAATGATTCAATACCATAGGATTAGTTGGATCAAGATTATATGCTCGAGATAACTTCTGAACTCCTTGTTTAATTGATTCCTAAATTAATAGAATAAAAATGCATAAAATTATAACATTAATGAATTGAATTGAAATGCATTACTCAGTAATTATATGTACATTTGTGTAGTAGGCATTAAGCTACCAGTTATTATATATGACGAGCTAACGATACAACTCTATAGTTGCTTAAACCTTAATAGGTAGAGTGATGTTAAAACCTGTGACCTACTTGGTTGAAAGTCAACTGCCTAAACCAATTAACCACGTCTTCACTACAAAGGTACTGAAGCAGGATAAAGAATTTATTTGTAGTAAATAATGTCAAGTCTAATGAAATTCTTTCAGCTTTTGTTGTTAATTACTGCTACTGTACTATCATCTTCAACGCTGAACATAACTAGCTCTAGCCAGTACACCAAAATAAGATATACTTCAATGATTCTCTTTTATTCTTCAGTTGATGATCACTGCATTGTTCCCTGTCCCCCCCCTCCCCCTTATGCAAACAGCATAATACTGTGAACTGTATTTGTGTCTTGGAGACACAAGTATCATATGGCTGCTTAAAACCTATGGGAAAAAATGAAATAAATCGAGAAATCAGATTAATAAGCAACTTTTTGATAACACCTTCTTTAGAATCTCTACCTGTATGAAACTTTTCACTATTTATAGTGAATGGCGTATACAAGATAGTTACAACTTTTGCTTATCAGTTTCATTATCTGAGTGAGATAGCCACTGGTTTGGTAGACTTGTATTATTGATACTGGGTGATGAATGAAGGTGAAATGGAAATTCGAACCATGGTCAGATTCAAACCAGCGACCACCGGGGTTTCCGACCTGATGCTCTAACAACTCAGCTACGAGGTCCGACTGCTGAACAGATTCTTATCTCACTCCAATCACCAAGATGGATTTTACCAGACTACCATATGAATTCGTGACACATCACTACCGACTGATTGCACTCACACTGGATGGCCAGTCAGGACTTCTCATTCGAATCCAAATGTAACTGAATTAGAGAAGGGGAGCATCATGATGATTATCATTTTGACTATTTGAGATAGCCGTAGTTAGGCAAACTTGTATTATTGATACTGGGTAATGATTGAAGGTGAAATGTAAATTTGAACCGCGATCGGATTCGAACCAGCGACCACCGGGGGTTCCGGCCCGATTCTCTACTCACTGAGCTACGAGGTTGCTTACTTAACTCTTTTATCAATGTATTCAGAAAGTCATTAGTCATGAGCTAAATCAAACTCAATAATGCAACAACTGCATACTTTCATTCAGACCTTCCATATTTAGTCAGCAGCTTTCTCGTAATTTCTTTTGATGTATTCATCTGAAAGCCTGGTCCTGCAAAATAGTACGACAGTAAATCAGTAAGTCACTGAGAAAGTAATTTGAAAGAATGTTATTGTCTGCTTGGTGGCTACCAATGGAATCTAGAACATGCGTTTAGTCCTGCTCGACACTCGTCAGCTGGATATACCTCCATCCCAATGAGTGGTGTTGTCTCCAATGGGACTCGAATCTCATATTCATCGGCTTAAATACAAAAGCGTTATCCACTAGGCCACCGGAGCATGAAAACTTATAATGCTTGTAATCTCTCCTTACTGTACACGATTGAATTGTTCTACGTCTTTTGACAGGTGGGCTCCCATGCAGATACCTTGATACTGTCTGCATCCTGCACTCCACTGTTAGCCACGAAGCAGACATTAACATAATGTGTAAACAGGCTGTACCAAAGCATCTGCATAAGAGTCTATCTACCAACAAAGGTTGAGTAATCCTGTTAGTATAGTAACAGGAAGTTAAAAGTATCAAAAAGCAAGTCAGAACTCTAAAAAGAAACTTCAAAAAGATCAGAGTTCATATATTCTTATCTACAAACACGTTATTGTGTCTAAACAATCTAAGTGAATCGTCAACTCTCAACAACAAAAAAGAATCCAGAAAAATTGATCCATTCCATAGTGAACATTTTAATTTACACAAATTTTCAGAGCAATCAACACATAGGGCATCTATTTAATTCACAGGATGAAAACTCTCTCTACCCTAACAATCAAGGAAAGTTCAGTTGCTTTACATGTAAATGGCTTAACAATTGAAGTGTATACATTCCCTTAACTTCAATAACTTCAGTGTACACATACCTTTAAAAAAAAATGACCAGCTGGCAGGTTACAACTAGCTAATCTGATAATACATGTATCGAATCCATTTTAAAAACATTAATCTAACTTTTTAGAAGGTAGCTAATATATATTTATTGAAAAAAATGTAATAAAAATAAAAATTAAATAAATTACTTGAGTTTTCTCATTTAAATCCAACACAGCAAGTCCAACCAAAGCACCTATACATTCTGAATCTAAATCTAAAGCTCTTTGAAATGCTAAACGTGCTTTCTCCATATTACCAAGCTTAAAGAAACAATGACCCATGCCAAGACGAACAGTTGCTGGACAATTTGGTTGTAAACGTAATGCTTTACGATAAAATCCTAATGCATTTCTGTATTCTTTTTTATTGAATGCAATACATGCTTTGCCTAAATAAGCTGGTACACTTGGAGCACCTTGATTCAATACAAAATTTAATTGACTATCAGCTTGACTCCAATTTTCACCTTCATATATAAAGAAGAAAGCTCGTCCCAATAAATGTTTTTGATCATACATATCAATTCTATCAGCAGAAGTGAAAAGTCTAGTGGCATGAGCAATCAATTGATTCTTTTTATCCTTACTTTTTTCTCTGCAAAATAAAAAAAATCGACACATAAATAAAATCATAATAATAGAATAGGTTTTATCATAGATTAAAAAAGTAAGGGATCTAGTAAAACACGGAACAGTTGTTTTAACTTAATAATAAGTACCCTCTTTTCTTTAAGAAATCACAGGGTAAACGCTAACATCCAGTTACTAGGTTCCAACTCATAAGTTAACAATTCTCTAATTCAATTCTTCTGAATACCTTATATAAACATTAAAAAAAACTGATAGGTATCTTCAACTATAATGCATTCACGTGATATTAAGAACTTTTAGAAATCCTTGTCAAAAACAAGTTCAAATGATCGATGGAGTTTGATTCAACTGAATAGTTTAAGAATAACTGATTACTTGGTACACTATTTATCGGCAACCAACTCAAGGTGAAGGAATATAAATCATTAGATTTTGATCTAATGGTATGTTAAGTAGTGGTATACTTGTCATGAAACTCAAGAAACGTTGTAGCCTCGATTGCAAATATATACTATTAATGAACCATTTTACCCAGAGTGAAACCGATTTTCAGTAACACTGAATCTCCAACCGTCCTGTAGTTGATATCATCATTTCATTATTCTTAGTCCTTTGGCTTCGTAGTGGAACATAGGGCTTCAGTAGCACGTCACAATTTCACTCTGTTCTCTACAGTCTTTCCAACCTGCCTCCACGACTGCCCACAAGCTTTCATTTCTTCCTCACACCATCTCCTCCATGTCATCATCGCCTCGGACGCCTAATTCGTATTTTCCCATTTGGCTTCTACTCGACGGCCTAGCCTGGCCTGACGCGTGATGTTCTTAAACGGTCTTCTCAATGTATGCCCGATCCACCTCCACTTTCTCCCTCTGCATATTTGTTGAGTGATGGGTTCTTGGTTGGTTCGTTGCCAGCCAGCCAGAGTTCCTTGTTGCTTATTCTTTCTGACCATCCATCTGATCTTCACTATTGAGCATAGGGCGCAGCTGTCGATGAATATCTGTAGTTTGTTCGAAATGCTTTTCGTAACGCACCACCAAGTCTCTCAACCATCACAGAGAAGTACTGACTGACATTAGAGTTGAAAATTCGCATGTTGTTCACGCTTTATTCTGGCTGAGTGCAGTGCAGTGCAGTAGATTTCCACACTGATTTCAGGTTAATGAATAATAATAATAATAATAATAATAATAAGGAAGGCCTGTCTTGCTGTGTTTCCGATGCTGGCTTCTTTCACGTCCTCATCTGTGCCGCTGCCTAGGTAGGCAGGTAAAAGAGGCAACTTCCTTTAGATTTCTCCCGTTGATGGTGATTGATGCTTTTTGTTGCTTTCGAACTGATCAATTCCCCAAAGAACGTCTTGATTGAAAAGAATTTTCGTCTTAACAACAGAGGATAATTCGTCATCAATATGTATCAATAAATTATGATCATACAAATATACTACTAAAGATCTATACAGTAGCACGTTAATAAGAGCACAAAACGCCAAAGATGAATTAATAGTTGAGGAAGAGAACAAGGTAATTTCAAATAGTTACGCCTTAGTTCCCACAGTAACGTGAATAATTAAATGATTAGAAATTGGTTACGGTTCGACCAATTATACTCAACCCAACAGTATCTCCAGGAGTTTTTAAATATGTAGTGATAAGTGTGAATATAATCTCATAAATAGGCAGTGAATCAGTTGTTATGTTAGAATGGTCATCTCAGTGAAGACAACCCCCATACCTCAATACAAATCTAAACAGCATCCCAACAAGTATAACATATCCCATTGTGCCTATCAATTTACACGTTTATGTGGACACATATATATATGGAGGAGTAATCATGATATCCAGTTAAGAACGGTTGAACATGTGCCTAAATGGCTCCAGTTTGATAAGTCCAGGTGATAAACGTCCTTCCTAATCGATCGCAAAATACGCACTAGAAACTTACCATGCGATCGATATAAAGACAGCTTTTAGTGTATTGTATACATATAATCAAGGATGAATACTTACGTTTATCGAAGCACTTGCTATCCATAACTTCAAACCTGTTTTATGTATTCAAAAATAATCTGTACTTACCCTGGCAGCATTGGGTTCAACTCTTCATATTGTTGGAAGTGGTCTGACCTCTTTTTCCCTTTCTTGTTTTCGTTTTGTCCTAATTATCTCTCTTAATTATAATTCGGTTGGCTTCATTAACCTTTCTTAGTTTTATGTAACTTTCTCGACAAGTTCATGTGTGATCAGAATGTTTAAAATGTATAGCGCTTACACATTACATGTTTTCGTTAATTTCCGTCTTCTCACTACGTTGTTTAAATGAAGAGATAAGTTGTTGTACTTATTCTAAACAGAGTACAAACTAAACACTTATTCACGATTAAAGAAATTTGAAAAAAGGAAGGCATGCGATCTGGGTGATGGACTAATCGAAGATTGACTGGAAGTAAACAGTTTAATTTGGGAGTTTAAGGGGGTTTATTGATTGATTTCAGGTTGGTACTCAACATGGATTGACATTAGTTGGAGGAACATTAGAAACCTGGGAGAACTGGATAGCTGTTTCGCCCTAGCATGAGACTCCTCAGCAGTGCGCACTCATGATCCACGGTCCAACATGAACCGTTGGATTCCAACGCAGTAGCTCAATGGAAACGTGCTGGCCACAGAATCTGTAGGTCGTGGGTTCGATCCCTGGCAGGGCAAGGTCATGGGTGTGCACTGCTGAGGGGTCCCATTCTAGGGTGGGACAGTTGTCCAGTGCTCCTAGGTTTCTAATGTTCCTCCAACTGATGTCAATCCACGATGAATACCAAGACAGCTGACAAGAAAGACCAAATAGTGATAGACTAAGAGAAACGTTGTCAGGACAACAGATACAATACTATGAAGAGTAATTCCACTGGTCATCGATTATTCTCTAGTTAGTAAACACTTAATCACATCGTGAATAAAACATTGATGTTGACATTCCAACAGGTTCTCATCAACTATCTACAAAAGTCTCTAAATACTTTGGTCCCAAATTACTCATCAAACCAGATGAAGCACTATTTTGGTACAGAAAACAATGAGTAATCAGTTTCGGTTTGTTGAGCTACTACATCATTTCAGTTTAAGAGAAAGAAAAGAAATCCATTTGGGATGACTAAAAAAATCTAAGAGAATAAACTTTAAGATACTGTGAGTATATAAAACCAACTAATGTAATTCAGCGACCGTAGACAGTTACACGCACTAGGTAAGAAAACATCTATTTTGTAAGAGACAGTAATTCTACCTGGCTACCTAGACCTCAGCAGGTTAGGTTGGGGTCTGACCGCCATAACCCATTGGTTGAAACAGCCACTGTAAGGAATGATTGACAGTTTCCAACTATCTCTTGACTAAACATGGCGGCAGGAAATTTCTTGTACGTCTAGAAAGAGACCTCATAATACACAAGAAGTGACATACAGTATGGCAGTAATTAAGCGTATAAATGCACCCTGGCAAAGTGAAGATGAAGAAGTCAAAAACAGAATGGAAATGAGTTTGACAGAAGAAAGAAGACAGGTATGCAGGAAGGAATGTTTATTGTCAACAAGTGGGACAGTAGTCGTTAAATATGATACACTAAAACCGTCATTAGCAAAATGTGTTTCATTTCCTCTTCTGCTTCTTTCTTGATCTGCTCTTCATACGCCTGCCTTGTCTCTTGCGTTTCTCTTGACGGAATCCTTACCTATTGCTGGTAATTTCCTATGATTTCTGCCACCCTCTCAACATATGCTACTTATATCCATTCTTATCAGCAACGCATACTGTTCTCTTCGTGTATGCTCCTGTATACCAATCGATTGAGCTTCATATATCATGAAGAAAATTCGACTTTAATTTTCTACTTTATATATGAACAGGATCATTCGACGAACACCATTAAATTTAGCTAACAATTCTGTATTTATGTTCTTGATAGACACAGCGGGTGTAGAGCACATACAAAGGCAATATAAAGCCTATTGTCATTATACTTGACCGAAGTTTATTGTCTCAAGTTTAGTCATGAAAACATCTTCCAGCAAAAACCAATGGGGAAAATAAATAAAGTTTTATTCATTCGTTTGTATAACTTCTCACGAAGCATGCTACCTACGTAACATAAAGTAAGATCTTTCAAATCTCCTAGTAACTGATGAGTGATCACCTTTCCTAACTGTATTATCTGGCATACATATTTAATTGTTTTCAGCGATAAGACCGTGTATCAATTCCGGTAAGCAAGAACGCAAGATAAAGCCAGCCATGTTCTTAATAAGTAAACGTCGCAAACTCAACTGGAACAACTTCTCAACAAAGTTCAACCCAATCAGAGAACGGAATGTTATTACTCACAAATGCTACATACAAAATACCTAGTGCGAAGACATTACAAAATTTGGATATTTTTACAGATTTGACTAAATATCTAACCGATTAATCAATTTTCACAACACAATCACTTACTTATAAGCCTTCCGACCGTAATAGTTCGCAAGCATATCCAACAATCGAACTAAGTCACTATCATGATATGGTTGTAGGTCAGCAGCATTACGATAAGCTTCTTCAAGGACTTTTTCAAAATCATCATACAATTTCTTTTTGTAATAAGCGATAGCAACATTAATCCAAATTTGCAAGGGGGCCTTCTCTTGATTGAGTATGTTAAGAACTTCTTCACCATCAGGTAACTGATCCGTATCTAGTTCTATAACTTCATCTCCTCCTCGTAGTGGTATCTCAATAGTATTCTCCGCTGGCAACCCACTGTAGTCAGAATTCACTGAAACCTGAAAAACACAAAGGCAGTGAATTTAGAGACAAAAGTAGTCCAGTGATTTTCTGAAAAAAAAGAGAAAGTATTTGCATTTCTTCAATTCTTATCTCATTTTACTATTATAAAAGTGGCTATCAAAAGTAAAAAGTATTTCTATGAAATTTCCATAATACAGAATAAAAGAATAGGTATTGTTGAGGTTAGGCGCAGGGTACATAATTCTGAAAATCATTTTATGAAACTGCATCGACTGGCTCAGCTGGGATTTGTTACGAATATCAATCTATTATCTGCTTTGGTTAGTAAAGTGAAACACTGTAAAACCACGTTAGAAAACAGCTGAAAGCGAAAACACTAAGAATTGGTATCAAGCCATAAAGTTAAAGATTATTGGTTAGGGCTAAGTAGGAGAGTGTCAACTTCCTGTCTATACTGAAATTGTTTTAAGCTATTGGTTGGAAATATCTAACCAGTCGTTTTTTATTCGTCCTACAGTTTTTTTATATCTTAATTGTCTCGATAATTTACCATCTTCGCTGATCTCCTTCTATACTGCGGGAAAAATGCATATATATGATACTACTTTTGATGTTAAGTCCCAAAGTGTTTACTTTGTCAGTTTGTTTAAACATGAAAAGTCAGAAGTTCCTCCTTAGTTGAATTTTGCAAAGTTACCAACAAAGTTTTCCCCCCTAGGTAATTTTCGGAACTGGAAGACATAGTGATCGGCAACCTAAGAGTGGTGTATAAGAACTTCTTAGAAAATCAACAATTCAGCAGCCTTGCCCACGTCTATGCAGTATGTAGAGAGTCATGCCCCTTGGGTGAGGGATAATTATATTATCTGAGTTCCTACACCTCGGTAAGTGGAGCGGTGTTCGAACCCGTAACCCAATGGGTGAAAGTCTATTCTCGAAATCAATGAGCCACAACTCCACCTACAGTAAAGATATCTTGAGTATATTGAATCAGCAAACCATTTTAAAGACCATGGTAAGACTCATGATATGTCGGAGTATGCTGCTATTGGGCAACTTCCAATACTAATTTACCTACATCATGTAACCAACGGCTTACTGAAAAGCTTCAGAGTGACCTCCTGAAACAGCTACATCGATTTTCACGGGCTTGCTGTTCTCGTACTTTACTCAGACGCCTTACATTCATAGAACCAAAAATCGCACACATTATATTCCTTCAGCTACTTCTCCCGTCCTTTTCAAAGAAAGATTCCTCTCCTTTTTTGATAACTGGAATAAGCATCGATTGAGACCAATCACAATGGATTACATATGACTTCCGTACACTAGATAACGCTTCAGTTAACCTGACCAATAATCTACACCACTATCTTTAAATATCTCCGGTGTTAGTCCGTCTGGTCTCGATGCCTTCCATTTCAGACTAATTACAGCTTTCTCGACTTCTGCAAGTGTTGGGGACTATATATATCTCGATTTCCCATTCAGGACCCGATTGAATAGCAGGTAACGGTATCTTACATGAAGACCAGTTGAACTGTTTCCCTAAGTGTTCCGCATATCATTCCACTTGCCTCCCACCTGAATGAATCGCACACCCATCCATTCCCATCATAGTCTTACTAACTGTTGACCTTTACGACCCAAAGTTTTCTCATAAGTCTCAATAACTGTCCACTAATACGTATCACTGACATCTTTTCAATCTCTTCAGTCTTCGCTACCAACCACTGTTGATGGACATTTCATACACTATTTGTCAGTTTACATTCGAGTTTTTCATGCTTCTAAATGTGATCGGAATATAAAAGAATGTGTTAACATGCAACCATTAATTCCGTAGAGGTTTATGAGACCACCGGATTTTCCCTAGCCACTTTATGAAAGTCAGCTACGGTCTTTAACGCTGTTTTCCGACTAGGCTGAGATTGTAGACAGCCTTCTTCTGAATGAGTGACGTTATTGCCTACCGATAATGTCTAGCCAATTTCTTGATCATGTGCAGATTGCAAAAGAGATGAGAAGGAATACCAGAGAAGTGCTAGGTTACGAGTCTGAGAGACCACATGCAATGGAAGTCAACTCTACAAACTCTTAACTCGACACTCAATAATCTACTTCGATATTGTCACACAGACCACAACCACAAGCACAGCACAGCACACTGCACTGACTTTTCGACTGGTGATCATCATGTCGCCAACACCAACGAAGACACACACACACTCTCTCTCTCTCTCTTTCATACACTGAGAAACAATCTCCTCCTGCACAATCACAATCATGACACCAAGATTCAACTCAAAAAGAAAGAAACAAAGTTACAGTCATACAATGCTACACTATGCACTCACAAATAATGCGGATCAAGAGAAGAAGGAGGAATTCTACAGACAACTACTGTCAGTACTGGACAACACCACAGACGGTGACGGTGACGGCAATGGTAACATCAAAATTCATTCTAATCGGTGGGGTGACATGAATACCAAACTCGGAGCGGACAACACAGGAACACAACTCATCATCGGTCAGGAGGCAATCGGTGAAGTGATGAACTGTTTGCAGACATCTCCACATTCAACGATTTGGTGATCGGAGGTGAGGCAGTGTGTACAAACACAAGGATATTCACGAGTCAGCGACATGCATCTGATTTCATCAGACACCAGGACACAATACACTACACTACACTAGAAATCAGATCGACTTCATCTCAATGTGAAGAAGGTGGAGATGGAGACGCAGCCAGTCTACTGGACACAAGATCAGATGTTGGTGCTTCACACCACTCACACCACTATCCAGTGCTGCAAGCAACGTGCCTTCAAAATCAAGTTGAAAAACCTCGAAGAAGCTGGTGATGATACACCACAGTTCACCTTCACCTTCGCCTTCACGTTCAAGTTGAACACCCAAGTTGAACACAAACTGAACTGAACGACCAAAATACAAAGTCCATCCTCACATCAGTCATCAGGACAAAATGGGAGACATTAGGGGCAACATCCCTAAAGAAACCTGTGTGGAAGAACACTGGAACTCTGTGGAAGCGACTACTTCGAAGGGGACCTGCATAACCGTGTTAGGAAGGAAGAAGCAAGATAAAATGAGATAAGATAAGATAAGGAATGGATGTTCACGGATGTCCACATGGAAGCTGATAGAGTAGGGAGAGGAAGATGGTGAAGCAGATGAACCAGTGTAGTGTAGTGTGGTAAAGTGTAGTGTAGTGCAGGGGTGAACAACGAAGAAAGGAACTGAACACAACCTATGAAACACTACACTAGATAAAGAAGTGAAGAAGTGTGCGCGCAAAGACAAAAGACACTCGTACAACATACTTGCAAGTGAAGCAGAACAGGCTGTTGGTAAGAGAGATAGTGAGAGACCTGACGACATTATATCAAATAACCAGGTTACCCGGTTATCCGGTAGGGAAGAGATCAACGCAGCACACATGAAAGCAATGAGAGATAGTGAAGGAAACCTAGTTAGAAGGAGGAGAATCAAAGGAAATGATGGGCTGACCACTTGAAACAAGCTCTTGAATCGACCACTACCATAACCAGCAACTCGTCGAGAAACACCACCAGCAGCCCACTCACAGAACTATCAGTGAACACACCCTCCAAATAAATCAGATGTCCTGAATACCATAAAGTTGCTGATATCCAGGAAAGCAGCAGGACCAGATGGGATCTCACCAGAAACACTGAAAACAGACACAGAGACAACAGAGGACATGCCCACACCACTACTGCAGAAGATTAGGAAGCAAGCAAGGAGAGGTAGCTGTCGATTGGAAGAAGGGCCACTTTCTCAAACTTCCAGAGAAGGGCGACCTCAGTCTTTACAAGAACTGGCGCGGAATCATGCTTCTGTCCACATCCAGCAAAATACTAAGCCGCATCATCCTGCAGAGACTAGACAGAAAATCCTCTCGATTCGAAATTACGACCGGAACAGGCTGGCTGGCTGACTGACTGACTGACTGACTGGATTCAGGTAAAACAAATCATTTGTGGATCAAATTGCAACGCAACGCTGCACTACACTACACTACATATCATCATAGAACTGAGCATAGAATGCCAGTCAACTCTCTTGACTTCAACTTCATCAATTCTGAAAAGGGCTTCGACAGCGTCGACCGAGAAGTAATTTGGCAGGCAGCTGCTTCAACACTACGGTTTTAGTGCCACAAACCTTTATTACCCTCATTCAACAGCTACATGCTATATAGTGAGGCTACATGCCAAGTGATTCACAATGGAAAGCTCAGTGATGCCCTTGAAGTGAAGAATACAGTAAGACGAGGTCGTCGCCTACTATCACCGATGATTTTTCTCATTGTGGTCGACTGGATCATGCAACAAAATGTGAGGAGTGAGATGGACATACGCTGGGCCGATGAAAAAACCCCAGAAGATTTGTATTTCGCCAATGATTTATGTCTTATGTCACACAAGCTCGAAGATCTAGAGGCGAAAACTAACAAGTTGGCAGGACAGGGAGGGCAGCGAAAGAATACGGGACTTCCTTCAGGTGGACGTAGAGAAGACATGTGATGAAGATAAGCAACCAGTAACAACAAGCATCAATCACCATCAACGGGAGAAATCTAAAGGAAGTTATCTCTTTTACCTACCTACCTAACCAGCTTCGTTCCAACTACAGGCAGCGGTACAGATGAGGACGTGAAAGAAGCCAGCATCGGAAACACAGCAAGACAGGCCTTCCTTATTATTATTATTATTATTATTATTATTATTATTATTATTATTATTATTATTATTATTATTCATTAACCTGAAATCAGTGTGGAAATCTACTGCACTGCACTGCACTCAGCCAGAATAAAGCGTGAACAACATGCGGATTTTCAACTCTAATGTCAGTCAGTACTTCTCTGTGATGGTTGAGAGACTTGGTGGTGCGTTACGAAAAGCATTTCGAACAAACTACAGATATTCATCGACAGCTGCGCCCTATGCTCAATAGTGAAGATCAGATGGATGGTCAGAAAGAATAAGCAACAAGGAACTCTGGCTGGCTGGCAACGAACCAACCAAGAACCCATCACTCAACAAATATGCAGAGGGAGAAAGTGGAGGTGGATCGGGCATACATTGAGAAGACCGTTTAAGAACATCACGCGTCAGGCCAGGCTAGGCCGTCGAGTGGAAGCCAAATGGGAAAATACGAATTAGGCGTCCGAGGCGATGATGACATGGAGGAGATGGTGTGAGGAAGAAATGAAAGCTTGTGGGCAGTCGTGGAGGCAGGTTGGAAAGACTGTAGAGAACAGAGTGAAATTGTGACGTGCTACTGAAGCCCTATGTTCCACTACGAAGCCAAAGGATTAATAATAATATTTAAAAAATCTCTTGATGAAAGAAGCCTCAGTATTTTCATCGTCAAGCAGAACTCGCAATGGTATTTTCGCTGCAGTTTTCTCACATCTATTTAGGCATAGACATAAGCGTTATCGCTATCCAGAAACGTGCTTCAGAAGCAGATGCAGATAAAACCAACGTAGAGGCTTGCATACAAGTGTATCATTTCAAGCTGCTACACACCACAGTAACATTCAAATAACAAGTGGATAGGAAAGACTGGTATCAAAGTAGACAAAGGCATGAGGGGAGAGGAGGGACTTAAAAATTAAGGTTAGTCAAAACACTCAAGTTTTAGATGTCACAGAGTGAATAGATCTGCGCCATTATGACCAATTTTCAACCATGTCACAAGGGATCGTTAACCACTGATTCTTATAGTCTCGAGGACCCCAGCTAGATAGTTTACACCTCCCTAAACAACTTAGACCAATAGTCAGGGACTTCATAGAGTTACCACGTTTTAGTCTGGAGTGCAATCCTCCACCAACGCTTTTTAACGACAAATTACAGAGATATGGTGTCCCCAGTTAAATTGAAGTCGATGAACGCTACTTCGGATGACATTTTTTATACCTAAGATCCGAAATGGGTAAAATGTGCATTGTTTAAGCACAACTGTAGCAGATGATCGCTATTGTCTGTTTGTTAGGCTACCATTCCAAAAGTCTCACCCAAATGACTCTAATTACCTTGGCCTAGCCAATTGCACATTGAAGTCACCTGCAACAACCACATCTGAATGTGTGGCTTTCAGTAGGCTAAACAGTTTTCGGTAGAAATTTTCATTTACTTTATCCGAGCTGCAGTCGGTGGGTGCGTAATCCACGATTACAAGGAGATAACAGCGAGTTTCACCACTTTTTGGTCTTTACTGTGACGTTCAAAAAAACAGCGCATAGGCGACTGGCGACTGGGATCCAGTCAAGCAGGGCACTTTTAGTCTTAGTTTTCAATTCCATTCCTATATCCCCACGATCGTAAGAACTAGCCATCGGATCTCCGGAAACTCGTAGAGTGAATTTTGAGGACTCACCATACTGGTTGGGTGGGGCTATGTGAATAAACGCACGGGTGTAGTATGCTTATCGCCCAAACATAGAACACATCTATGGCCCAAGATACCAGTTATGGCTAGTAAAGTTTAGTGGTCAATTTGACAGAGAGTGTGGACACTGAAAGCTCCAATATGTAGTTTCGAGGGCGCTTTAAGGAGACCAAAGATGCTATTCCGTGAAGTCAAATTGTAATCAAGAGCTGCAGAGCTGTGAAAAAGTAAACAAGATGTAAGAATGTTGATAAAGATATATGAAGGAAGATCAGGAGATAAAGATGTAGAAGGTTGATAATGAACATGCAGAACTTGATGACAGGGTTTAGACGATGGTTGATACTCTCTGGCTGCCCACACCGTAGAAGACTGGTCCTTTTTGAGGTAATCGAAAAAGGGTAAGTGCGTGACCACAGAGCGCAAGTTACATTTGCTTCAGGTCGGTCACGCACGATCTTTTTAGATGCCTGAGATTTCAGTTTGCTTTTCTTGAATCTGACTACAAACTCATCGTCAGCACCGGTATGTCATGGGGGTAAGGCGAGAGTTTGGGGGATAACCTTTTCTTACTTTCTTTCCCTAGGGGTAGGGAAGACAGCATCAGCATGGGGTCTCTGGTCATCCAAGGGATACACCTTACTGCTCTTACACACCCATCCAGTCAGCGGAACGACTTCAACTTGGGGCGCCCGTCATAGCGTAGCAATTTACACTAGAACGGCAAGTTTTCGTCTTGCACTTATCCAATTGACCTTTTTAATGTGGTACAAGCCTCAAAAAAACGCGTCCTATCAGCATAGCTGGTTGGATCATCATAATAAGCAAACCCAACCACCACGTCAAGGCAGCAACTATAGGTCAGGATCACCTAATACAGGTCAACTGTACCGTGTGACAGTCTACCTTGTTTTGCTATGTGGCTGTAAAACATGGCCACTAAAGTCAGAGAACATGAGGCTTAGGATGTTCAGTCACTTGCTTTCCTAGCACTACTCATCTGTTATGGGACTAACAAGTCAGTGAAGTCAGACGTAGAATTTTGGGTAAAAGAGTTAAGACAATTGATAAAGTTGTAAACCTTAATTGGGTGGCTAAGATATGTGTCAAACATCCTCAGCCATTGTTCACCTCGTCACGCAACGATGGCTTAAATGGTATCAAGCTGTAAAGGTCAAAAAAGAACAAAATAAAGCATGACTTTGGTCCACGAAGTTTCTGAGTGTTGGTTTGAGATGTGCGGTGGAATGGAGACTTCCAAGTTGGAGTGTGTGCAAATTAAGATCAGTGGCTGAAGACTCTAGATGACCTAACTCAGAATCGGACACTGACAAAGATGCATTCGCGCTTTATTGCCATTCGAATTACAATATTGTATTTCGGTGCTTGCTTTACTCCCTCTCCTCAATCTGGTACTTTTTAAGAATTTTGGTTAAATCTCCCCAACTTTTCTTTTCATCTTGATATGCTGATTTGAGGTATGATAACTTGGGTTATTACGCACTAATATCAGGTCACTTAAATTTACTGACTGAAACTGCAGCCGGTGCATGACAAGTATACACATCTGCACCAAAAAAAACATTTTCGGATCAGATTACTAAGACGTTGGTCGCTATTTCGATCATCAGAGGGGCATCAGTAAAAAAATCTTAACCTCAACATGATAGAGAATACCAACTAAAGACTAGATGGATTGGTGTTATATTTTAGTCTAGCCATTCTGTTTCATTTCCACCCAGACGTACTTCGATTAACATACAGCATAGGTACTGGTATCAACAATGCATGTCCAAACTACCTCAGTCGGCGAAGCAATTTAGTCAATTGACGTCTTTCTTACTTAGCACTCTATATCTTACCTATACACGGCTTGTTGCAGTTCTAATGCAGACGAATAATGGTGTGGAGATGTATGATCAGTTACTTGTAACTTTTTATGTCTTCTACTTTGGAAGTTATTTTCAACATTTCAACAGGATAAAGCGAGCTGCTGAACAGTAAGGTCAAACAAAACTGGTAACAGGTGACTAACATTAGTTATCAACCAATTATCTCCAACAGTTAAGTTAATTTATTAGGAACGTTGTCCATTGGACCATTTTAACTCAGTTTTGCAGCACTTGAAAACTCCAGGCACACTTATGAAATTTGAGGAAGTCCACTAAATTGTCTCCTACTATCTGTCGAAAGTGCACTGTGAGGACTTCGAAATATATAAATGCGTCCTATCAACAAAAACAATTTCAAAATATCGCAACATAAATTGAAGTAATTTCTCTAAAACTTCGTATGTACTGCGGTGAATGAAAATTTAAGAAACCCACTCAAAGTATTAAAACTTTTTCAGTAAAACATATTGCGTAGTCCTCGAAGCGCCCCAATTATTTTCTAAGGATTCTGCCCGAAATTTCCGAAAGGCGCTCGAAGTGCCGGCTTGGAATATATACTGAAATAAACATGTGCATGCTCCTGACTGCTAAACACCATTAAAACTCTAATTCGAATGTCCAGTATATGATGAAAAAAGATAATATTACAATATGACCATGGAATGCTCAAGTCAATTATATATCTGGCTCTAAAACCAAATACTAGCTGGTACGGTCTCAATCGAGATCAAAACAAGTTTCATTTATTAGAACATTTTAACTGATGTTTCAAATAACATAAAACAAGACTAAAATACAACGTGAACGAGATGTGAACAAGAATTTCAAAAGACTATACTCCAATCGCAAAAAAACTTACATCCATCATTCAGAATCCGACTTCAGCGGGTGGTTAAAAGGGCGCTTGAATACTCCAATATCCACAGACCTCAAACTTCGTGTTGTAGCGTTCACAATTCAAACCTTGTGTGGTAGAATTCAAACTTCAAACTTAGTGCTGTAGAATTAGTGAACGACGGTTCCTTCGGTTCTACGTCTGTCTTCTTGGAGTACGTTCTGAGTTTCGAATGGTCACACTTATCTTCCCGGCTACGAAAAACCTGGACGGATAGAGATATGGCCAAAAACCGTTTGCGCATTAAGTTAAGAATAATGCATCCAATTTAAGGAAAGCATATGGAATATAGCCCACTCTTACCATAAAACTCCAAATGTGCTTACAACCTCCTTTCAAAGGCATCAGGCTATGGGGCTGCAACAAATGCTGAAGGGAGTGAAATCCAGAGTTTACCGATTCTTACTGTAAATGAGTTAGCACGGATCTTTGTACGTCCTCTCTCATGCTCTATTCTTAACGGGTGACCCCTCAGGTCACGTTTCCGACCAAAGCTTAGAAGGGATCTGTCAGGAAGAAGAGGATTATAGGCGATGTGGTACATCATGATCATATCCCCTCCGATCCTCCGGTATTGTACTGGGCGCAGCTGAAGAGCAACTAAGCGGTCTGGGTACGGTTTGTGCCGCAACCCAATCACTTTCTTTGTAGCTCTTCTCTGTACCCGTTCTAGGATAGCAACGTCCTTTTTCAAGTATGGGGACATCACAAGCGAGTTTTTTTCTAAGTGAGGATGAGTGTGCAGGGCATACACTGTGGTGAAAAGAGAAGAAGTTAGACACTCTAAACTTCGCGAGAGAAACCCCAGGATTCCATAGGCCCTGTTGGCTGCAAGGCGATAGTGAACTGAGGCTCCTAGTGTATCATTTAGTGTGACTCCCAGATCTTGTTCGATGTTAGAGTGACAGATATTTATCTCACCTAGAGAGTAAGGACTGGGACTGCCCTTATGTTTGTCAACTATCATAATTCGACACTTCTTTGAGTTGAGAGGAAGTAGGTTTTCTGTAGTCCAACTAAGGATTTTCGTAAAATCCTTCTGGAAGATTGGAATACCCGCTGGCTCCTGTATTTCCTTCCAGGTCTCCAGATCATCGGCATATAATAGTGAATGTGAATCAAGGACCCCTGGTAGGTCATTGATGAAAGCAAGGAACTATAGTGGGCCCAGTATGGAACCTTGAGGCACACCACTCAGTATCGGGAACCAACCAGATAGAGAGGAGCCAACTCTAACTGACTGCACCCTGGTGTACAGATAATCTATGAACCAGATTAATAATTTTCCGTGTACGCCCATGAGCTGAAGTCTCTTACAAAGGATACCATGATTTACCCTGTCAAAGGCCGTAGAAAAGTCAAGCAAACCAATGTGTATAGGCTTTCTCTGCTTGACAGTGTCCAGCCATTCAAGAAGTTGGTGTTGCATGACCGTACTGGTAGAAAGCCACACTGACAGTCGTTTAGACCCGATCTCTGAAGTAAGTGACCACGGAGTGAGTCATTTACGACTCTCTCCATGACCTACACAACTGAAGAGACCAGGGAGATTGGTCTTTAGTTGGAGGCAAGTAGTTCGTTTCCACCTTTATAAATTGGGACGACAGCCCCCCGTTTCCAATCAGAGGGTAACCTGCCTTCCAGAAACGAGCATTTGAAGAGGTTTGCTAGTGGGGCGCATAGAACTTCAGCACACCCTTTTAGTGCTCTTGGGTGAATCCCATCGATTCCTGGAGACTTATTCGGGTTCAGTTTCTTTAATATTTCCATGATTATAAAGGGTGTAAACTCTACATGATTTAGCCCCTCTACGACATAGGTGTCCGACAGAGGCGGGGTTTTGCCTCCCAAATGACGGTTGTTCCGGAACTCATGAGTTGGTAGGTTTGCAACTTCGGAGTTGTAATAGAGAATCTCCAAACTAATAGGGTCCTGTAAACTAGGTGAACTGTTACTCTTTTGTTTCATCAGCATGTGCAGTATCGCATGATCCCCTTCCAGGGTTATACAAAATTGTGTCTGGCGGTTTATTCTTTCATTTCTGATCCTTATTGTACGTCTATTGCGGATGACCACATAATTTAGCCAGTCAAAAGTGCTATCGGTGCACCTCCATGGATTCCAAGATGACCGCTTACGCCATATTAGTTTGCTTGTGCTTGACTTAAACCAGGGGGAGTCGAACTTGTTAGTTCCTCTCGGAATCAGAGGAGTGTTGTCTTTTGTCGTGTGGAGGAATGCATTCTTCGACAGATCCCATGTAGCATCAAGATCCAGTGGGTCATCGCAATTTAAGCATGCGGAACCTTCTAGATCTTGCCGAACCTTCTCAAAATCAGTCCTCTTGTAATTCCTGACTGGTGGCTGATCGGGAACGGGTGGCTTGGACACAGAAATATTTAAGGAGATAACTGTATGGTCACTCAGGCTAAGAGGACTGAAAATATCCAAGTTGCTTGCCCTAATGAACTGGTTTGTGAAAGTATGATCTAGTCGGGATGCCTCACCATCAGGCCCCCAGCGAGTACACTGAGAAACATGTTCCGTCAAGGAGTTTTCCAGTAACAATTCGCGAAGGCCTTTTAGAGCTGTAGATGGACTTTCTGTGGTGAGGAGTCGAGGAAAGTTAAAACCTCCCATAATGAGGACCTGTGGAAAGTTCACTTCCGGGGCTCCTCTAATGGACTGTATTAACATTTTATTTGGCGTGGCATCAGCTGCAGGAGGGCGGTATAAAACTCCAACCAAACACGGACCTCCACAGCACTTAATACTACACCAGAGGACATCTTTAATGCCAATTCTGTGAGATTGAATCTCATGGACTTTCAGGGAAAGGCAGGTGTAAAGAGCAACGCCACCTCCTGGACCCTCCGGTCTATCTTTTCAGATTAGGCTGAGCTGTCCTAGACGAACTTCCTCGTCTTTTGTGTTCCCTGATAGCCATGTTTCACAGAAAACCATTATGCTAGGATTTTCCTCATCCACCGATAACCTTAACTCAGGTACCTTGGAGCGTAGGCCTCGCACATTGCTGAAGGTACAGCGAATAAGAGTATGAGGGCTGGAGGTCCCGGAAACCGGTTGAGTTAAGAGTGAGTTGCCAGCCTTTAAATGGTCGGCTTTGATAAGTTTTTTGATAGGGCAGTGGAGCCAGGGGCTACTGTATCCACTGACCTATTCGACTGAGAGCTGGTGCAGGGTTCTTCTATCTGGGACAAGGTCGATAAAAACTCTTGCTCATCGTCCAACTGTTCTATCGTTAGATGTGCGTTGGCCAACGGTAAGCACTTAAATCACTTCTCAGTTTGCCTTTGTTCACTGTGTCTGTACTCACTTATCTTTATTTCTCTAAGGAATGCATCAGATACATTATACCAGGGTTCCAAAGTAGTTCTAACCACGTCCGGAGAGCCAAGGGTTACTTGGAGTAGCCTGGGAGTACACATAGTCGAGAGATGAGCCTGCCTTGGAAGGAGATTAATTCTTTCGGATCTAGTATCGATTCGAAGTTTGTTGACAATATATCTCCACTGATTTATGTCATGGATAAGTTCAGCAGTATTGGTAGTCGAACATTCGGGAATCCGGTGTATGATTACCAAGCAGCATAGTTCTTGAGGGTGGATTTTCTTGCTTCTGCGAAGAAGTTCTCGCACTGGCCAGGGTCTACCGAGCCTAATCCTGACGTCAGACAGTTTACGTCTCACCAACCGACGTCTGCTCAGGGAGTTATGAACATAAACTCAGTAAATATAACAAACTAATCAAGAATTTGTCAAACCACACTGTCCGTTTTGAAGCGCCCCCCTTCCCCTGATAACTTTGAAAGGAGGTTAGACGCACACCTGGAGTCCTACGGCACCAATGGGTTTTACTCGAGAAGCTTCCCATCATCTGCAGATCAGATGCAGTATTATTACCTCGAGACCAGATTACTTAGTAATCATATCTATATACCTTCAGGTTTTGCAGAACTGAGGAGACAATTGTGACCATTCCAAACTCGGAGCATATTCCACTAAGATAAACGTAGAACATAAGGAATTGCCGTTAACTTATTTTTATTAGTTTGTTATATTTACTGTGTTTAGTTTCATAACTCCCTGAGTAAACATTTTTCTACCCTTTATACAGTCTAATGACAGTTTCAAAGGATGTCTGCGTAGTTTGTCGCAGAAATGTCAGCTTCTCAGCCAAGGCGATGGGTTGTGAGCTTTGATCTCAATGGACTCACTGCTCCTGTGATTCCTGTCAGCCATCTGGTTATTATGAAGCACTGCTTAATAGCCCTTTTGATGGTGATTGGTATTTCTGCTCACATTGTAGGTCCAAAAGTAAGTATTAAATAGGCCTAGATCTAGTGAGGCAGAACTCTGACCACCTTACAGCTGAGATCTCTACACATACCAGCCTCAATCCAAAGAAGTCTCATGGCCATAAAAAGATCCTTCAGGTTAGCAGTAAGGGAAGTAGCTAATTCATTACTGTCACGGACTGTCACCCCGTTAACATGCTTTTGGAGCAGATCCCCTCAGTTATGAGTGGGCATCTCACACCTGATAAGCGCCGAAAGAAAGGTCTGAACAAATTTAGGCAGGTCAGATCAGTTAAAATGGATCATTAGGTAACGATCGTAAGTCCGACAGAGTAACGACTACTCAGCCTAATGAGAAGCCGAACCGTAAGTTGAACATTGCCCCTCCTACTCAGGCGAAAAAAGTTCTGGAAAAAGCAGATCTTGCTCCCACCACCTGTAACTCAGGGCGGAAGCCGACTTCATTTCGCCACCAGCCTCCTTCAGTCATCAAGAAAACCCCCACCGCGTGCACCTCAGGTCTTCCGAGTCACTCGCAAAAGGCTCATCAGAAATCTGGGTCTGTATTCACAGGTTGGAATAAGCTCAAAAAGACAGACCATAACCTTAATCTTAGATCGCTCATACTCTTCAACGTTCAGGAAAGTGGCTCCTC